AAAAACTGTAATCGGGAGATTTGGGGTCATTCCAGAAGGCTTGGGAAACGTTATTGAATAGAGGGGGCCGGGCCGGCCGCATAAAATCTAGAGCCACGGATTCAAAGTTAAACGTTACAAACAGCCCCTGCTTTTTGAAAAAAATTGAAAAGGGCACAATATTTTGGATGTCTTTCAAATAGAAGCTATATACTGAGCAGCCAAATTTTAAATTAACGGTAGGGCCGCTTCACAACTCTTATTTTGCCCTTCATTTGGATTCAGCTCATACCAACGCGCTTGTGCTTATATTTGAACTCATGTTGGTAGTGATAATGGACAGCGGCGGCGATCCAGGGCCCGATAGAGGGACACGTCCCCCCGGAAATTTAGATATATAGCTAGAAAGAAATATACATGTAGCAGAAAGAACGTACATATTGGACTAAAGGATTTTCTAGAATGCATAATTTCAGCATTCTACATTCAGAAGCGGATCTAGAGGGGGGTTGGGGGGGTTGCAACCCCCCCCAAAAAAAAAAAAATCCGGGGACCATTTTTTAAAATCTTATCTTTTTTTTTAAACTTGTAATTTTATTTTATTCTATTTCTATGTATTTATTTCATTTATTATTATTATTATTATTATTATTATTATTATCATTATTATTATTATTATTATTATTATTATTTCTTTTTGGGGGGAGGGGGGGGGGGGTTGGGCGAACAAATGTCACAGAGTCCCTTGCCCCCCCCCCCCCATCAGCTTTTTTGAGGACACGGGCCACCGCCGAAGTGACAAGCTAGGCCAGCGTTGCCGATTCTCATCCCCAAAATCCCCACATTAAAAAAAAAAAAAAAAAAAAAAGGAAAAAAAAAAAAAGAAAAAAAAAAAAAGAAAAAAAAGAAAGAAAAAATAACGCACGCTGAAGAGAAACCCTTTCAAGTGCAAATATTGTGAGAAGATATTCAACTCATCTGGTAACTTAACCAAACACATGATAACTCTGGATATAACTGTGTATTTAACTGTTACTTGATTTAAAAAGACGTTATCATGCACTGCTTTTTATGGTCTCCATTGTGTTAATAGATGCCAGGAAAACATCACTTACGGGGTTCAAATAAACACCCCAAAAAAATCGGCTCGCCGCTTCGCGGCTCGTGGACGATGCTCCGCATCGTCATTTTGGTCAACCCCCCCCCCCTGAGCCAAAAGCTAGATCCGCCCCTGACATTGCAAAATCTCGCTTGGTCGCTACGCCCCGGCCCTCGCCCGATAACACAAAACTAAGATAATGACGCTCCCGGTCGCGATTATTTCATGGTTGGTATATAAAAAGATTTTTTTTCCCCTTTCATTTCTACTGACCTAATTGTATGCTATCACAATCATGATTGTTTCATTTTCCCTTTAAAGCATGCGTAGCTAGGGGCGGTAGGGGCAGTAAGGGGACATAGGACGAAAAAAGGAGCAGACAAAGAAACATTTTTGACAAGTCTAAAACGGTACAACAAATCATCTTCTTTCTCTATTAACTTAATGAAACGTTAAGCTTCTGCGCTTTGCGCTGGAGGGGGAAACTGAATTCAGAGAAGGATTAAGAGTCGGGAATAGAACAACGAATTATATTCTTTCTCTAATAATTTCATTAAACTATGAAAGGTCAAAGCTTCCGCGCCTCGCGCTGAAGGTGGAAAATGAATTCAAACAAGGATTAAGAATCGAGAATGGGACAACGAATCATCTTCTTTCTCTCGTAATATAATGAAGCGTCAGAAGCTTACGCGCTACGCGCGGGAGGAGGAAAACTGAATTCAGACAAGGATTTAGAGTCGAGAATGGAACAACGAATCATCTTCTTTCTCTAATAATTCAATGAAACGTTAAGCTTCTGCGCTTTGCGCTGGAGGGGGTATGGAAACTGAATTCAGACAATGATTAAGAATCGTGAACGGTACAACGAATCGTCTTCTTTCTCTAATAATTTAATGAAACGTTAAGCTTCTGCGCTTTGCGCTGGAGGGGGTATGGAAACTGAATTCAGACAATGATTAAGAATCGTGAACGGTACAACGAATCGTCTTCTTTCTCTAATAATTTAATGAAACGTTAAGCTTCTGCGCTTTGCGCTGGAGGGGGGAATCTGAATTAAGAGAAGGATTGAGGGTCGAGAATGGAACAACGAATTATCTTCTTTCTCTAATAATTTCATTAAACTATGAAAGGTCAATGCTTCCGCGCTTCGCGCGGGAGGGGGAAAACTGAATTCAGACAAGGAATAAGAGTCGAGAATGGTACAACAAATCATCTTCTTTCTCTAATAATTCAATGAAACGTCAAAGCTTCCGCGCTTTGCGCGGAGGGGGAAACTGAATTCAGACAATGATTATGAGTCGAGAACGGTACAACGAATCGTCTTCTTTCTCTAATAATTTAATGAAACGTCAAAGCTCCCGCGCTTCGCGCGGGAGAGGGAAAGGGGGGGGGGGGGGGACTCAATTCAGACAAGGATTAAGAGTCGAGAACGGTGCTCTGTCTCTAATGATTTAATGAAACGTCAAAGCTTCCTCGCTTCGCGCGGGAGGGGGTATGGAAACTGAATTCAGACAATGATTAAGAATCGAGAACGGTACAACGAATCGTCTTCTTTCTCTAATAATTTAATGAAACGTTAAGCTTCTGCGCTTCGCGCGGAGGGGGGGAAACTGAATTCAGACAATGATTAAGAACCGAGAACGGAACAACAAATCGTCTTCTTTCTCTAATAATTTAATGAAACGTCAAAGCTTCCGCACTTCGCGCGAGAGAGGGGGGGGGGGAACTCAATTCAGACAAGGATTAAGAGTCGAGAACAGTACTCTTTCTCTAATTATTTAATGAAACGTCAAAGCTTCCGCGCTTCGCGCGGGAGGGGGTATGGAAACTGAATTCAGACAATGATTAAGAATCGAGAACGGTACAATGAATCGTCGACTATCTCTAATAATTTAATGAAACGTCAAAGCTTCCTCGCTTCGCGCGGGAGGGGGTATGGAAACTGAATTCAGACAATGATTAAGAACCGAGAACGGAACAACAAATCGTCTTCTTTCTCTAATAATTTAATGAAACGTCAAAGCTTCCGCACTTCGCACGAGAGAGGGGGGAATTCAATTTAGACAAGGATTAAGAGTCGAAAACGGTACTCTTTGATTGATTGATTGATTGATTGATTTTTATTCGACAAGCTTCCAACATACAACAATATACAATAATAACAGATTAAAAAAAAAAAAAAAAAAAAAAAAAAGTCAGCTTGAACAGGATAACCCACGAAAGCTCGAGAGCTTATTTCCAGTGGGGTCCCTTACAGACATGTATAAAATTAATGATTTAATGAAACGTCAAAACTTCGGCGCTTCGCGCGGGAGGGGGGAGGGGGGAGGGCAGGGGGGGAGGAACTAAATTCAGACAAGGGTAGGAGTCGAGAATGGTACAACGAATCCTCTTCTTTCTCTAATAATTTCATGAAACATTAAAGCTTCTGCGCTTCGCGCGTAATGGGGGGGGGGGGGGGGGAGGGGAACAGCGAGCTGCCCGAATATGAATTTGTTATATCTTTTCTCGTATATTTTGGTGATAAATAACACTTTCACAAAATACATATTATCCTCAAATTTTTGCTCGCTCGCTTCGCTCACTAGCCGAATTGTGAAACCAGAAAATTACTTTTTCGGGCAAGAGGCTTCAGCCCCCCCCCCCCGATGAAAACGTCAAAAAAAATTACCGGTATGGTGCTTCTAATATGACCTCGTCAGTATTGGTATGTTGAGTTGAAAAACGGTCTGCGCAATTTTCAAATTTCCGGCCCCCCCCCCCCCCCCCCCCTATTGGAAAATTCTGGATCCGCGCCTGCAGATGATGATGATTTTTCCTTACTAAAGTACATTCCTCATCAAAATGAAGGAACGTGAAGATCTGCATGTGTATTCGCTATAAGATGACATGAACTACACGAGGTTTTAAAGGGAGTCACGCGTCAGTTTCCATGTGCAGAAGGCATTTTGCTGACACCAGACTTGGTGGAAATACCATTAACGGCAAATCCGCACACAGCAAACCCGTAGGCCAGTCAAGAATTCCCCCCTAATCTCTCGGAGAATACCATTCCCAGTCTTCTTGCAGGGTGCCTTGTAGTTGTAGATATAGTAGGCAACTAAAACGTGCTTATCATCAGTCACACTGCTGGTTCTATTGTGGTCCCCATTGTGAAGTAGCGTCCTGGACATCTGAGATGTTATAGGGATCCTAGACACCGGAACAGTTCTCAAGATGAGGGTGGACTAGGGACTTGTACAAAAGAAGCCTGGGTATCAAACCTTCTGCATGGGACAACCTGCATAAAAAAAAAAAAAAAGAGAGGAGAAATCGAATAAGATTAAAACTGCTGCACTTTATTGGATTTTCAAAAATAGTACCTCCCCAATTTTAGGTCTTGCATTTTAATTTTATTAAAAAGTGATAAACTAATGTCTATCTGATAGGGTCTTTTTTAAAGAGAAGAGTAAAGGTTTATATGTATTTCCAATTATTTTACATGTAACTTCCAATTTATTTTAAGTTATTATTTGCTAGATTTTAGTGAAAAAAGTTTGTTAGATATAATGTTATATTGAGGAAAAATGCCTTGCAACTGTAGCAACTATAGTTTGTCATCTAAATAAAGCTAGAGAATAAATGAGAATTACAAGATATAATGCAACATAAGATAGATGATAGATGAGTAGATGACAGTTCCCCAAATCTTTGTATATAGTCCAAGACAAGTGCGATGTTTGCATGGGCTTAGATTATACAGCCTGAATATTTTCGAACTTCATACAAACATACCTTGCCAGAGTTTAACTCTGGTGTCCTGTTCCTGATTGTGTACATATCTCTATGATTGTGTATGATCGAATCTCTTCGTGGCTTACTCCTACGGAGGACATACTGTGTATGATCGAATCTCTTTGGTGGCTTATCTAAACGACGCCCTCGTACGATGGGAGGGCGCCAGATATAAGATTTTCAAGATGGCAACTTCCATTGAGAACACGATTAGAAAGCACTTTGAAAAGAATTGTCGGACAAAAGAACATAATGGAGTCCACTCATCTAAAGTTCACTCTGTGGCATGGAACTGTGATGGCAGAATGCTTGCATCTGGATCGTTTGATAGAAATGTTAGCGTATTTTCGCTGGATAGAGATAGAATGGTGAGTTTTGGCGATACCACGGGCACGGGCCACGGGCGCGGGCCCGCGACATTTTAAAACCTAACCTAGGTCCTAGCCATCCTAGCGCTGCATATTTTAAGAGACTAGATCTAGACCTAAGTTAGATCTAGACCTATAGGCCTATTACTATATTTATTTTTTATATTTATATTTGCGTTGGTACAGTGCAGTGCAGTGGTGGAGACTGAGTTTAGGGAAAGCCTCCCGATTTTATCGGAATGTCATTTATGAAGGGGTGACCAAAGTTCGCGGACATTTTAGACCTCTAGAACATATTACAAAATGTGATATTCGAACTACGATTTCTCATATTCTACACAAATTTATTGATTTCAATTATAACCAAAGGGACGGCGAAGTTTTTAACTACAGATTAGTTCGACTAGAAAATTTTATCGTCGAAGGATTTTGGAGATATCGCAATCTAAAAATTTGATGTCCGATCGTTCGTGCGCGCTGCATCTAAAAAAGTCATAAAAACAACGAGACCTAACTTCACGCACGGGGGTTTACAGTTGATTTATCAAAAAGTGTGATCCATCAAAAATAAGGTAATATCATAATTTGCAAGGCAAGATATCATACAATCAGTTAGTACCACTCTTTACTTACAATTTTGAGGAAATCTGCTCTCAAATTGAAGATTTTCAGACCCTTATCGGTAAGTTGATCATTTTTCGGAACGGACGCAAAATATTGCAAAATTTGCCGATCTTTTGTCAATATTTTCACAATTTCGTACCCAATTCCAAAGAAAATTTCACTTCTGGGTAATTTTATGTTCCTCTTTCCATTGGTGATATCAGATTTTCGTAATCTTACTGATTTTTTGAGATAGCGAACTTAGGTCACGCGCGAACTTTGGTCACACCACCATAAGTTAACGTAGCTTTGCACTTGTTTTTGTAATCAGGCCAGGGAATCAGGCCAGGGCTGTCAACCCTCCCAGCTCGTCAATGACTTGGAGTTGGAGGGAGTCTCACTCCACCACGCATGAAGAACTTTACGCATTGACTGATTGAGCACTGTACAGTGAGTTCAAGCGCTCTCATTGGCCGATCCGCTCGAGTGGCTTATAATTAAAGCGAGAGAGGGCCTACTTAACTTAAGCGCAACTTAAGTTCAATGGCAAAGTCAATACGTAATATTACGTCACACCACCACAGAGATTTTGACACGTCCTGCTATATGTTAAAGATGAAGTTGAGCTCTGGTCTAGACAGAAATAACCGTCTGACTTGGGTCATTTCTTTAATAAAACTGACATTTGTTGACATTCCCCATATACAGACGGTACTACAGAGATCTCGTACCGTGGGGGTAATCTAGAGCCAGCGATGAACATCTTTTCGTTCACGACATTTTTCCCCCAATTTTCTTTATTTAGACTAGATCTAATTTTCTGATTTCTAAATCAGATGTAAATTAGGTTGGTTTGTCTATCTCCTAATTACAGTTATCAAAATTTGATAACTTATTAAATGCAAAATTTACGGACTTACTTACATGAATTATCCAATTTGTATCTCAGAATCGTGAAAAAGTACGTTCATGCATTCGAACTATGACCCAGCGGCCGATATATTTCCGGGTCAACCTACCAAAACATAGCCAATGTTTCGTGGGTCAAGCCAGGCTGACTTGTACGTAGCTACGGTAGCTATTGGACGTTCGAAAAGAAAAAATGAATATTCATCAACTAAAACCAAGATGGGTGACAACGAATCATTTTGACTACGAGACTTTCTCGGATAATCGTTAATTTAGGATCTAAATGGGCAAGCTATCGTAGATCTAAGTCAAATAAGCTTTATCTATGTTATTTTAATTTTTTTAATATAGACTCTAATTATTGTAATATTGCAGCATTTATGAGGATGTAAAGAGTGAAAATCTTGTTGCATATCTCATTCATCGCGATCCGACTGAACCAAACCATTTGTTCCATACAGTCCCCATAGGACGAACTTCAGTCTTTATAATCGGAGGTCTAGTGTAGCCAGACGTAGTCTCAGTGGAACAACCAACGATATAGAGAGACTGAAGCTTTTGGTCTAGTTCTGGTCATGCGATTGCATTGTGAATAAACGGTGTGGAATCGACCAGAAAAGGTTGATCATCTAGCATAAGTATTTGTGTGTATTGCAAGGTTCTGGAATCATCAAAATGATAAGAAATTTGGTACAGTCTCGGTAAAGTTACAAAAACACTGTACACAGAAAGATATATATGGGACTTCACGAACATGTGGCGTAAGAATCCGTCCCGATTTTCATGATGTTACAACTTACAAGACATATTTAGAATATTATGGCATTTGAAGAGCCATGCTTCTCAGGGAACATGTTTTATCTGATGTTCTTTCACACTTGCATATAATAACAATGATAACGCTCACAAATTATTTTTCACCTCTTCCCAGAACTCAACCTTCTCTTTAAACAGGTGACGCACTTCACACATAAAATAGAAAAAATCAACGAACATCTCAGAATAAATTTCCAGTTTGTACCTTAAATATGACGAAAATGAGAATTGTTCAAACTCAAAAAATAGTTAGGTAAAATAAAACTTGAACTTACTGTAAGTGAAAAATTTAAGTGAAAAAATCATAAGAAATAGAGGGTTTGACAGAAATATCATAATTTTGGTATTGAAAAAAAAAAACGGAAAATCGCAGGCTTGCTCCTCGCACAAATATCTTATAGCATTGAGTCAATGGAGAACAGCGATAGCCAATCTGAAGGGCCCATGTCTAGGCTAGGCTAGGCGCCAACTTACATGTATGAAAATGAGGCTGAGATCGGATAAATGATCTGCACATGCGCTAATTGTTGTAGTGGTACATTGATTTGGGCAACACATTGACCTAAAGGGGGCGCTATAGTAATAGAGGAGTTGGGTTAAGTTGATCATTTCATTTGTACGGTTATTAGTTCGTCTTTGTATTCAGCTAAAAGTTGAACAGCATTAATAATGTTCCCGATAGTATGCCACAGCCAGGAACGGGTAAACAACCCCTGGACTTGAATTCCTGCATTAGATTTACAGGTGTTCATTTCTGATAAATACGATAGACAATAGACTGTTTTTCCGGGGACGTGACATTCTCGCGGGGCTGTAGACTCCTCCCATTTTCTTTGGTACCTACATGTAGTTAAAATCACTCTTTCTATTGTGCTTTGTCATTGGTTATATTTTATTAAATGTATACATGTAACTCCTCTTAATTGGTAGATTGAAATGGTCTAGAGGTCGGCTGACCTAAGGGTATATCCTATCTTGTGATTGGTTGTCTTCGTAAGGGTCCTCCTGATTGGCTAATAAGATCATGTGATTTTTAAGCCTCCTTGGGTGCCTGAGTATTTAAGTGCCATGTGTGGGATTTTGTTGCTCAGTTTATTTCGTTCCGTTACTATATTAAGGATGTGCTGCTAAATCTATGAGAGAATTAGCTATTTTAAAATGTCCTTAAAGATAAAGGCGCCAAACGTGATAACCACAATTTTACCACTCCAGCAAAGCATAGAGAGTCACTGCTAATGCGTATTGACTCAATTGGACTCATTACATGTAGATATTAAAAACCTTGTAGCCGAAGCACACTTCAATATTTAGGCGTGTTTGTCGTTTGACCCTAACCCTACGTACGCGACACCCAGATGTTGGTGATTGTAAGTCACGGACAGATACAGATATTGACCTCTAGCGCTGTATGTGCTGAGAGGCAGCAATTACACACAATACACACACTGCACACAATTGCACACTAATGCACACAATGAATACGATGTAGGCGATCGGCAAGTTGGACACTTGACTCACGATTTGAATTTTCAAAATATTCTTTCTAACATCAGTAAGTTGAAAAGATTGTATTTTACTGCTATTTAGGTGTCATCAATTGTCACTAACGTACCGATTTTGAGTGAACTCTGTTCAGTTTTGTTACTTTTGTACAATAAAACAGTTTTTAATACACAACCAGGATAGTAATGCAGCTACACATGTATGTGTGAAATTTTTACTTTTTTTTTTTTTTTTTGCTCAAGGGGGGGGGGGGGGGGGGGGGATTTGGGTGCTCACTGGGATGCTCATAACGACTTTAAAGGTAATACAAAGTTTTGGGAGACATTGAAAATTAGGTGGATAGTGATTCTTTACAATTTTAATATATTTGGATGCCCCTTTGGATGTATTTTAAGCACTAGAAAATTTAGCTCCTAAAACAACTCTGCCTTCAAGAAAAATTGAACATAGAAATTTACCGGTGCTCCCGGTAAATTTTGATATATCAAATAGCGCATACGGCCGTACAATGGTAGCTGCGACCATGAAAATCTCAGAATATGTAGTTGTGATATATAATTTCCAAACAGGAATAGCTAATCGGTCGATTTTAGTCAAGAAATATTGTTTTATAGCTTAATTAATATCTTGACCTCGAGAGGGAGCTATATAACATAAAGAGTTTATTATCTACAATTTCATAACTTTAGACTCGGATTTCAATTGCGACATCAATCACTGAATATTGTAGGATCGCATATGCTTCCAATATGTTTGTTTGAACCAAATTCACAACCCCATACCATAACTTTGTATTACCTTTAAAATCATGACCAGTATTTGAACAATTGATGAAAATTTAGTTGATTTTGGTACATGTATGTTTGATATGTTTAAGTAGGATTCCACGTCGGAGTTACATGTCAAAAGGCAACTTTGTTGTGAAATAAATCTGCCTCAGATTACTCCAAAATTAATTAAAACTCCATTTAACATGTGAAAAATCGTAGTGATCTTCCGCCAACTGTGTTTGTTTTGGATTTGTTTGGTATCGCAAGTTGAATTTCACAGTACGGTCGTGTTTGGCCATTCAGGATTGACTGATGAATGATGGACATCGTTTTTACCAGAGAGAAAGTATATTAATGTAGGATACTAGGATTATATCTTGTTGACCCAAGATGCTATATTTATATTTTATAATATATTTCAACAGAAAATTTGTGTTCAATAAGACATGGTAAGCACTTTGTCTTAGCTATGACAAGAGATCAGACAAAATTCTGAGAACCGATGATGTCTTGTTGGAAAGTCAATTTGGTCGAGACAAGCGACTTGAGTCTTGATCGCATCTCAATTTGCCTATGCAATTTGCATGTTAAAATAAAATTTGCACTGCACAAAAATTATACACAAAACGTATGGGAAAGTGTATGGGAGGAACGATGCTCACAGAATTGTTTTGAGCTTGATCAAATGACACTAAAACATTGCATGTAGTAAGGCAGTCTAGTCAAGACCCCCTGATCTAGATCGAACATCCACCATAGGCTTTTTATACTTTTCTGTCAAACACCTTCAAAGAGCCCATCCGGGCTATCTTATGCCGCAGCTAGGGTCCATTTGAGCTACCCTTACATTGTCTACTGCTATAGCTAGCCTAAAATTAATCAAATAGCTAAATTTAACTTTTATCATACTCATAATTGGTTTATGTCCATGTCAATCCCTACTACAACTCCATGTACTAGCACAACCAGTACGACATTAACAACTAGAGCACCCTTGCTCTTTTGTGTGTAGGCTTTGTAGCGCTTCATCAATTGGCGATCAAGAAAGTTGTACATGATGTGACATCATGAATTAAAGGCTTAATTTGACCTCTGAATGACCTGAGATGAGGTGGGATGTAGTGACAAAATGTGATTAAGCATTGTGCCTTAGTGGGATCATATATTTTAATTTAAAAAATTGATTTGCATTCTGCACATTATCAATTTATCACATTATCAATATATAATGAAAGTATGAAACTATTCTTGGGTGTTCAACTGTAAAGACACATAAAAGTGGAGGATAATGGGGAATTTGACACTGTTCTGGGTGTTTTTAAGTTTTAACCCTATATCAGGTGTTGTCAATCACTGGTATTAGCCTTCGGTTTTATGACCAAAAAGCTTTATGCTCTGTCTTTTCCTCAAATGATAAAGTACTTATCTGACATTTGCACCACCCGAAGACTCTCCGAGAGACAAGGGGGTATATTTGTTGAGTGGACTACGAGTTTGCTGTGTGCAGACTTGTACACCCATTAATGGTATTTCCACCAAGTTTGGTGTCAGTGAATTATGACCTTCTGCTGTTCTGCACATGGAAACTGCAGACTAACCCACTTTAACTTCCCTCCACCGCAGACCAGAGAAGCAACATACAAGGGGCACGTTGGCAGTGTTGATCAATTATGCTGGCATCCTAGGAACCCAGATGTGTTTGTGACTGCATCAGGAGATAAGACAATCAGGATATGGGATACCAGGTCTGCCAGGTCTGTAGCATCTATAGCTACAAAAGGTAGGTAGTGTATCCCAACATCAAATTCTGTAGAACTTTGCAGGAATTTATGAATATGCCTCGTATGTCCTAGCTGTGAAATTCAAACGTTAGCAGTGTCCTAGGGGCTGTTCACACCGGCAGAGATAGCGCGGTCTAGCGCGCTCTAGACCGCGCTATCTCTGCGGTGTGGAAGGTACAACGTCGTTTCGGTCCGCCCAACAGCGAGCCACGGCGTGCCACCGATTCAGATTCAGATCGCACCAAAATAGAATGAGGGTTCACACGGGCAGAGATAGCGCCGTCTAACGATTCATGGGGCACCTCTTGGGGGTGGTCCACGAGAGATAACGCGGCCTAGCGCGCGCTAGACGGCGCTATCTCTGCCGGTGTGAACCCTCATTCTATTTTGGTGCGATCTGAATCTGAATCGGTACAACTCAACACTCCTAATTAGTAATAGTGCGCGAAATCTTTGACCGCTCTGACCTCATGACGTCACGTGTCATGGCAACAGGACCTCTCAAAAAAGGGGGTGCTAAGATCTCATTGCGGTGTGGATCCGGCGAATGCCAATGGGCAGACCGTGGGTCGCGCTACGATAGCGCGATCCACGGTCCGCCCACGGCCCCCCCTTGCGGTGTGAAGTTGTGAACACGCCCCTAGTATTCAAATTATGCAATGAAACCTGTTTACTATCTAGACTTCACTGTCAGACACTATTGAGTGAGTGACTGACTTCTTCTTTTGCTATCGCAATATCTAAACATGGTGACAATATGACTATAGGATGATGATCCAATTACATTTTGGGGCTAGTAGGTCAAGATTATGGTCGTTGGTTGACATTTGATTATAGGCTCTTTGTTTTCATCTTGGTATGTCATGAAATATACCATCCTTTTCTTATATATAAATGGATTCATGACTTGTAAAGTTTAATTCTCAGGGATTGTTATTAGTTTGTATCAAGATTAAGAATTAAACAGCTTTTTTTAAATCATGAACACTAAGCAAGCAACAGAATAACTTATCAAACAATATTTTTTTTCATTAAGGTGAGAACATCAACATCTGCTGGAGTCCTAATGAACAGTACATAGCTGTGGGCAACAAGGATGACCTTGTGACATTTGTAGATGCCAAATCTAATCGTATACTCAATGAGGAGCAGTTCAAATATGAAGTGAATGAGATCTCATGGAACAATGACAGTGACCTCTTCTTTCTAACCAATGGGCATGGCTGTATTAACATTCTCAGGTAATTTGTTATTCTGCAAAAGCGACTTTTCACTTGTGTATCGGAATTACCTGGATTTAGGAAGGAATTTACGTACTGTTAGGTGAAAACATAATTCTTTCTTCTTTTTGAGGTTCTGAGTAGATACATTAAACCTAAAATCAAAATGATAGGGCATAATGTGCTTTCTAGTCAGGGAATCAGAGCAACTAAGAGCTAGCTCTTTCCTCGGGCTAGAATACCGGCAGTATCCCGTTTAAAAGTTCAGATCTACTAGTGAATAATCTGTTGAGCACCTCAGTGGGAAAGGTTTTATAGTTATATTTCAGATTTTTACAATCTAGGTACAACTTTGTTCAAATTATGGTTATCAATTGATTACTTTTAGTTTATTGGGCATGTGAATTTCTAGCACCTTTTATTCTTTGTTTGTACTTTGTTCAGCTACCCAGACCTTAAGCCTCTACAAGAACTCAATGCTCACCCAGCTAACTGCATATGTATTGAGTTTGACCCAATGGGCAGGTTCTTTGCCACAGGAAGTGCAGATGCCTTGGTTAGCCTATGGGATGTTGCTGAGCTGGTTTGTGTCAGAACCTTCTCAAGGTCAGTGATAAGGCATTGTGTAGGTGGCTGCTCCTCTGCACACAGGGATGTTGCATAGGCCCATTCACTTTGATGATGTAAAGTACAGTACGTAACAGAAAACTCACCTAATCTATGGCTGTCACACTGTGCCCATGGGTTTCTTCTAGGGGTATCCCCCTACATGTGTGAGAATATGTTACTTTAAGAATCAGTTTGATTGGCTTTATATAATCTATTGTCTGCTTAATTTGAAAATACTTGATTCAAGCCATTAAGAATTGACTTTCAACAGGTAATAAGTTCTAGATTCAGGTTGCATTGAGAATGTGTTGAACCTTGCATTTACAAATTACCTAATGTTCCTGTACATTGACAAATACATTCAATATGAATGTTTTGCCTTTATTGAACAAAAATCATTTATATGTTATGACTCCTAACCTCTACTCATTTTGAGAGTTCATTTTTTTCTCTAGTCAAATGATATCTACAACACATTAAATAAGTTTGCTTTTGTGTTACCACTCATTGTCATGACAGATTAGACTGGCCTGTGCGTGCCCTTAGCTTCAGTCATGATGGTCAGCTCTTAGCATCTGCTTCTGAAGATCTCATCATAGATGTTGCTCATGTAGAAACAGGTAAATGTGGCTTGATTATTTTGATGGGATGATATTGATATTAAATAGGAAAGCTTAAAAACAATAAAAGGCTAATATTAGATCTGTTGGCATATAAGAGAGTGCCAGGTTTTGGTTCTGTGCTGTTTTGATATGGACAAACTGTGTTACCACTACACAACACCTGTGGTACTTATACCTGGATTTTTGGAAATGCCAAGGTTAATCTCTTGTGGACAAGGATGCCTACATGAGTTATAGATCTACCAATCCATTCTTTCAACCTGCAAATCTCCTTTGGTCCTTAGAAAGCTGCTCTGATGCCAGCCACCAAGTCATATTTTACTAAATTTGACCCAAGGTTAAACACATACCTGCCAAGAACTTTCATTTTAGCACACCACATTCAGGTACTGCATAGGAATCCCAGCAGGTGAAAGGATAGCAAACTCTAGATCTCAACTTGATTGTTTGCTTACTTATTTTATGTAATAAAGTGAAATATAGAATCGTGTCCAGTCTAAAAGGATGTAATTAGTAATGCTGCACTGTGAGCAGTTCTGGGCTTGATTTTATTGGGCACCTTAGTGTGGATCCTATTTAATATAGAAATAGTATCATGACTTTTCTTTGTATTTTCTTTGGTTGATCAACATCAAACATTAAACCCCGGCAGCCTACGTAGATGTATCTGTGAGTTTTATGGAAACTCATACACTCTAAACCGTTGTATATATTCGTTATAGCTTACATGTCAATATATAGTTTTTATGTTTGGCTCTTTTTTTCTTTAATTGCACTGTCCATTTTTTCCCGTGTTTTTTTTGCTCAGGTGAAAAAGTAACCGAAGTGCACTGTGAATCACCAACCTTTACTGTTGCATGGCATCCAAAAAGGTACCTGCTTGCATTTGCCTGTGATGATAAGGACAAATATAATAGGGAGAGGGATGCAGGAAGCATCAAGCTATTTGGCCTACCTAGTGATTGACTGAGGGACCCTCATGGGATTCTGTGAACGACATCTCTTGATGAAGAGGGTCTCATAAACAATGCTGCCCCACAACAAGTCGTGCATCAGTCTGTAGAAAGAGTTGTAGGATGTTGATACTAGTGGTTTGATTGACTACCCCGAATACCATATCTTTGGAAATTAAAACTATGAATGCATCAATGGATATGTAATTGCCTTTCTTATTTATGGGCAGACCTGTTTGAGAGACAGGCCCCTTCTAACTCTTTGTAGGATGAAGCCATCCCATGACCTAATAGGCTGAGCTTCTGAACAATTATTATTTACATGATCAGTGACAAATACCAGCTCTTTGATGCCATAAGCAAGTGGGTCAAGAAAATATTTATTCATCCACGAAGCAGGCACTATATTAATTTTTGCTATTGCCAATACACCCATTTTGCCATGATGTAGCCTCTTGGATGTAATTTCAAGAGAACAGGTTCGCATGAAGTTAATATGCTTAATTGCATATTTGCTTGGATTGAGTTTCATGTTGTTGTTCCTTGTCCACTGCTGAAGCGCGTCAGCATTGTTTAGGATGGTAGCAGCATCACTCGTTTTCCTGCATTCCAGAATCAAGAGATCATCCACATATTTCCAGTGCGGATTCTGGCTCCCTTGGCATACGTCATTGAATAGACAGAGACAAATAAGCTACAGTCTGTCTTCCTGGGGCACCAGCTTGTACATCTCTCCAATCAGAGATGGTTTATCAACACTCTGCTATCGGTCCTTGAGGAAGTCAGATATCCATGCAACAACCGCTGCTCTACATTCATGTCTATTAATTGGGGTGAAACCAAGTTATGATCGATCCGCTCCAAGGCCTTGGAAAAATCCATAATCAATAGTGTACACTTGCATGTGTCCTATTGTAAAGATAATTCAAGTAATGCCATGTTGACAATCCCTTTCTGCAAATTTAGAAAAATGATCCGTCAATGACACAGGTCATGGGATGGAGATGGTGGGCTGTAGTTCTTTAGGAACTGGTACTATGTAGGCACATTTCCAGCAGTTATGCACAACTGCCTGTTGTAAGGACGAATTTAGGATATCACAAATAGGTATGCAGAGCCAGTATGCAGACCTCCAAACTTTCCTTATTTCAAAGGTCGTAATTCCAAAAATGAAAAAAAGATTCATAATTTTGAAATCAGAAAAGGATTTGTAATTCAAAAATGTGATTGGGTCCATAATTCGGACAATGAAAAGATTTTTAATTCAAAAAATAAAAAAAGAGTTCATAATTCCGAAAATGAAATAGAGTTCTATTTTATTTTTTGAGTTATGAACTCTAGAAACTATCAACTTACATTTAAGAACTTGAGAACCCTTTCTCCTTTTCGGAATTACTAAACCTTCAGAATAACAGACCTTCAAAATTACAACCCTTCGGAAAAACGACATATAACCTAACTTTTTTAATTAAAGGAGAGAAATAGGTAGGGGGCATGTATCTTACATCAGAAGCAGAATAGTCCCTTAGACAATTATGCATTTTTATCGATACCTGATAATGATTGAATGTGAAATTTTATGAAAATTAATTAAATTAATTTTTACATCATTACCATAATTCATCAATTTGGATACTGTACTCCCTCTGGAAAAGCAAATAATTGCATCCATTTTTCTTCCGGAGATTTTTACTTCTACTATGAAAGAAAGGGCGATATTCCATTAAATATTTGTGATCAATATTGCTTCTGGGTGTAAACTTACAAGATTGTGCATTGATCTAGAACAGGCCTTCTCAACTAGTTTATTAGAAGTGCCGAAACGAAAAGAATTTGTAGTTGAAGTGCCACCCTGTATGGTTGACTGTGCTGCAAGGGAGCGTAGCGACCGAACCGAAAATGGGTGGGGTCCAGGGGCGAAAACCCTAACAGGGGGTAGCAGGGGGCGGAGCACCCACAAGCTGGTGGATTTAGGGCTTTCTAAAGGCCCAAATGGGGCATTTTTGGCACCATTTCATTCCACAATATAATTTCATATTGATGTGAACAAATTAGTACAATTCCTGGGTACAATTACACTGGAGGTATATTTATATGTAGTTTTTTGTGTGCAATAAACACTGGAAATGTCAAAATAAAGTGCAAATCAAACAAACAAAAACAAGATGTTTCCGGAGATTGGCAATGTTAAAATTAGCATCCCATCATAAGCTTATTGTTGTTCAGCCTTAGGTTTAGATTCATATAAAATGGTAAAAAACCATAAATTCCCCCTTTCTTCCTGTTTGCAGGCATTTTGGGCTCAAATTCGACTGCAACTTCTTGATTTAGCTGAGTATTTAATTCTAAAATATATATTTTCTTTCTTTCTGTTTTTTGTTTTGTTGTTGCAACAGTCGTGCACCACTCCGACTGACCGCAAGTGGCACAAGTGGTGCGCGCGCCGCCAGTTGAGAAGGCCTGATCTAGAAGGAGAAAAATATGAACAATTGTCTGTCATGTGTTTGTTTAATTCTTAATCTTTAAAATGTCACAAATGCTCTATCTCTTTTAAAAACGAAAAGAAAAGAAAGATAGCTTCCTAAAGAAGAGAGAACAGGAACTGTTTATATATTACAATTGAGAACAAAAACATCAATAGATGACTGGTTAGGTCATGTTTAATTCTTATTCTTTAGATAGCGGCAAATTATAGTAGATCTTTTAAAAAGCGAAAGAAAAAGAAGTGTAGTTCATGGATGTATTAAAAGTTGGTCTTAATTAAGGAGGAGAAAAGCAAATCTTCAAACAAAAGTTCTTTTCAGGATGAGGTTATTTTTTTCACTTCACCTTGCTTTTTAATGAAAGTAGAGAGCGAATACATAAGAAAGTGGCTTAGGGTAAAAAAAAATCAATTATCTTGACACAGCGGTAAAAAGTACCATTTTGATGTGAAGAGTTCTTAGTGTATATAAAATCATTTAAGTCGAGGAGCCCTTACGAAATATGTGCATTTCCATGGTTACAGATTAAACATTTAAAAAGCCGCCTTTTTGAAAAAAAATAGTATTTTGATCATTTAAAGAGAAGGTTGAGTTCTGGGAAGAGGTGAAAAATAATTTGTGAGCATTACTCATTCTTATTATGCAAGTGTGGAAGAACATCAGTTAAGACATGTTCCCTGAAAAGCATGGCTCTTCAAATGCCTTCATATTCTAAATATGCATGTAACATCGTAAAAATCGGGGGGGGGGGGGGGGCGGCTTTTTACGCCACTTGTTCGTGTAGTCCCATATACATCTTTCTGTGCAAGTGTTTGTAACTTTACCAAGACTTGGCCAAATTTCTTATCTTTTTGATGATTCCAGAACCTTGCAATACACACAAATTCTTATATGCTAGATGATCAACCTTTTCTGGTCGGTTCCACACCGTTTCTTTCACAATGCAATCACATGACCAGAACTCAACTTCATCTTTAATGTTTGGTGTCATATAAAAGATGATTAAATTATCTACATGTACACGCTGATACCAATGCTATTATATGCAGAAATATAAAGAAAATTAGTTGTTATCATAGCTTTAGGAGAGCTCAATTGTTTTAAAGTAGATTTCGAGCCGGAATAATGTAATAAATATTCAGAACTGTTAACCCTTTTTCATTTTCGGATATACAAACTCCCTGGTAAGGTAAATTTGTGTTTTAAAAATTATGAGTCGTCTGAAAAACAAATCTAATAACGAGTGTCTTCCTCCCCTGGAAGGGGTGATCTATTCTAAGCACATTACATGGGTGAGGAAAGGTGTGTGTGATGGGCAAGAATCAACACCTATGTCCTTTTCATCTTGCATCATTTTCATTCATGTAAAGGAATAGCCTATTACTTAAATTTAAAAATAATCCAATACTCCATAGGTATATGCCATGTGCATTCTTCAACTTAGAGGAACCCAAAGGGTATGGGCTTGATGTAGATCATTATACATTTATTTAGAAAAATGATTACCATAATATGATGATTAAAATGCTATGTGTATTAAGACCAAGAAAGGATTAATTATCGTATGTCTTGAATGTAGTTTTAGTTCTGTCCAGTTTCAAGAAGGGACGGATTCTTTTTTTTTGGGGGGGGGGGGGCAGCAAGTTGGGACACAATAAAAATTACACGTTCAGATGTGCATTGATTTAAAATGTACTAAATTACATCCTTATATTCTGTTTGAATAAGTAAATACATTTTGCCCCTTGCTCTGTTGTAAGCAGCAAAATATCTTATTCTACAGAGTTAATATTATAGTAGTGTGATCAAATTTATACGAAAACAAGATGAAAAAATTCTGCTATATCACATAATTCACCATGACCCCCCCCCCCCCCCCCCACAACAAAGGGGATGGAATTTAGCAAAGGAGTCCTTTACTATCTGTTGTACACACAACTTTAGTTTAAATTGCTGGCCAACAATTATAACACTGATTTGTCACATTCCACATACTTCAACGTTTTAGCAAACTCGTTATTCTATATTCCCTTTTGCAGAGTTGCTCAACCAGACTTGTGATTGTCTGTATAGAAGTTTTCTCTGCAATATATCGAGAGCTTATCATTTTTTGTTATCACATCTGAAATAGATTTAGGCTCGTGCTTTTATAATCTTGGAAATACTCAAAAGTTTAATGGAAGTAAGTGACATTGATCAGTATACTGGTATTAAATGCGAGGCAGGAACATGAAGGTTTACTTTCTGTGCCCATGTATAAAACAGAATGCTTTAAACATAGCCCCCTCGTATCTTCAATTACAGCATGGAATCAGTTGGACAGATCATTGAGAATGGCAAGCTCTGTTAACACCTTTAAATACATGTTCAAACAATCTTGCAATATTGATTCCCAATAAGATAAAAAGACGAGGAATCTTAACCAATGTTTTATTTTAATTCCTTTAGCTTTCCAGCACATTTCTCTTTTAAAAATCAAACGTTTGATGCGCTTGCAGAACAACCTGACAAAATGTGGTATTCATATACAGCATTGCTAGGAAAATTTCACTTGATGCTTTTTTGTTGTTGACTTTGTCAAGGATATGACATTTGTAATTGTCCTGCTTGCACAAAATGTTTGATTGTCTTGTTTCTAACCCCTGAATGGAGGATGACATAATTCTTTTCTAACTGAAAGAATGATTTTGTATCATTTATTATCAGTTATAAATATATTTGCATTTTTACTGTTATTTAAAAGTGTACATTCAATTGCTATACTAGTTTATATGCATTAATTTTGCATATTATCCAGTAATTTACTATCCTGTAATATGTTTTGTTTGTAAATATGTTTATAACAATTTTGGTATCCCTAATGTCTTTCTTAACTGAGCCTAAGTAGTTTCAATACTTTGTTATGAACTCTCAAAAGAATATGTTGTCTTTTTTCAAAGTCTAATACTTACCGGTACCAAAATATGCTAATAGAAATGTAGGTACTTTTCATGGGATTTAAAAACTAATTACCGTCTATACTATAATGTTATATTACCATATAACAAATATGCAACAACGTTTTCTGGAACAAAAATAGCAAAGCAAAACAAACAAACCGTTTATTCATTATGAGGATACCAAATACTTTGTTAATATGTTTATACATGTTCTTAATTATTCTTTGTTTTTATGAGTTTATATTATTGATCTTGTTATTTTTTTTAAACAATTGTTTTTTATTATATTTAACAGGGCCTCATTGAAGACCACCATTATTGGTGATAATCATTCTCCCTGTGTAAATATCAGAAATAAATAAATAAATAGAATATAAAATTCCCAAGAATATAAATTGTTAACAGTTGCATTCATATATCTTAATACAATCAACAGTTCTTTTGTGATCCTTTTTCCATGAAGCCGAACTTCTTTGGTTCTCTAAGAGGTTTTTCCGTTTCAAATGTTGGAGATGTCTTAGCCGTGCATTATTTGTATAGCAACTGTTTATCGCCAAATGTTATTACAAGGAATAACTTTGCAGATCTTCTATTCTCTTTGACCTCTCCAAAAAATTAACCGTTTTTTTTCATGGCGGAAAATAAAAGATTTGATTTGTTAACATTAGACGCACCAAGTATGCAATGGTTTTAAGAATGACAGAGAAAATATACCTAGGAATGGGTAGGACCCTTTTCCGTCGATAATGTTTTTTCATATTTATTCCAGTTGATATGCATCTCCTTTCAGAGTGTTTGCTATATACAAGCAAAGTTAAAGGATAAAATTGAGGACTCCTGTTACAGATATTGTTTTTTAAATCAATTAATATCCTTTTGAATCAAATTTTATTTCGTAATAAGAGAGGATATGTGCAATGCTCTCAAAAATAGCGGCCATTTTTAATTTTTGTGATTTACATGAGTAGCTTTGAAAAATCGCAAGGGCTCCTCAACTAATATTGATTAGTATGTCATAATGAGTGTTTGTGTCAAATTTGATGCTTTTGCCCGCTTTGTCCCTTACCCTAATCCTGAGCCACCTCACTATATTATATTTGACTCTTTATATGCCACACAATTAAATTTCCCTCTGCCACATTGTATATATCATTGGATAGCTACTATAAGGGCTTTAAGATTACATATTTGTAGGCAAGATAAATCTATACCAATGTTAAAAAGGTTATCGTGGAGCTAATCAAAAGCAGAAATTGGTAATTTTGCAAAGCAACTGGGTAGTTCAAGCAACCCTTTTATCAATTGGTTGTGCAGAGAGGCGAAGAAAGCAACCAAAGTATTCATGCAGAGTTTAGTTTACATAGTTTTGTGTGTTTTTGTTCCAAAATATATATTACAAGATTAATACACATGTATTTTTGTTATTTTTTCAAACTGTGAACTCCTATACCATACATAGGATTCCATCCTTGCAGGTCAATTGATGCCACAGTTAAGGAGTTTATTTCTGTAAAATATGTTGTAAATAAAGCCATCATCAAAAAAAAGCAAGAAATCAAACTTGCCTTTATTGTAAAAGTGAATAAATGTTAATGTATATGTGAACACTAAACTGTCAGATATCATCTGTCATATCAGATCAATGAACTAATGACAGCATTTCTCATGATATATATATATATATATATATATATACACACATGTATACAGTGGCAGATCAAGAGGGGGGGGGGGGGGAACCTCTTGACTTCCGATGGCTCTGGACCCCATGTAGGGCCCTAAGGCGGACGGCTGGATGCTTATCTGACGGTAATTTAATGCTTAAAACCCCTGAGCTTCTTGGGTCTCGGCCCCTGGACCTCATGCCAATCGGTGTCCTGCCAGTGTCACAAATAAGGTAACAAAATATGTTCATCTGACCGTAATTAAATGCCTAAAACCCCTAAGTTTCCAGGGCTCTACCCCCCTCTACTCCACCAGGGGCCCTAAGGCGGGGCCCTGCATGCTTGTCTGACCGTTAAAAAATTCCTAAAACCCCTGAGCTTTTGGGGACTCTGCCCCTGGACACCACGCCAATTAGTTACCTGCCTAAAGGTTTAATTATGCTCATCTGATGTAATCAAATGCCTAAAGCCCTGAGCTTCCGTTGCTCTGCCCCTCCCCCCCCCCCCCCCCGGAACCCAACCAATGACCCACAGCCGGGCCCCTGGATGCTCATCTGACCGAAATCTATTGCCCAAAACCCCTGAGCTTCTTGGGGCTTCGCACCTTGGACCCCACGCCAATTAGTGACCTGGCAGTGTCACAAATAAAGTATAAAAATATGCTCATCTGACCCTTATTTATTGCCCAAAACCCCTGAGCTTCCGGGGGCTCTGCCCCCTGGACCCCACGCCAATTCGTGACCTGCCAGTGTCACAAATAAGGTATAAAAATATGCTCATCTGACCGTTATTTATTGCCCAAAACCCCTGAGCTTCCGGGGGCTCTGCCCCCTGGACCCCACGCCAATTCGTGACCTGCCAGTGTGACAAAAAAGGTATAAAATATGCTCATCCGACAATAATTTGATGTATAAAACCCCTGAGCTTCTGAGGGCTCCGCCCCCTGGACCCAACACCAATTTGTGTCTAGCCAGTGTAACAAATAAGGACCGTTTTTTATTGCCCAAAACCCCTGAGCTTCCGGGGGCTCCACCCCTGGATCCCAACACCAATTTGTGTCTGTGTGGTATAAAATATGCTCATCTGACGGTAATTTAATGCTTAAAACCCCTGAGCTTCTTGGGTCTCGGCCCCTGGACCTCACGCCAATCGTTGTCCTGCCAGTGTCACAAATAAGGTAACAAAATATGTCCATCTGACCGTAATTAAATGCCTAAAACCCCTAAGTTTCCGGGGCTCCACCCCCTCGACCCCACCAGGGGCCCTAAGGCGGGCCCCTGCATGCTTGTCTGGCCGTTATAAAATTCCTAAAACCCCTGAGCTTTTTGGGGCTCCGCCCACTGGACACCACGCCAATTAGTTACCTGCCTAAAGGTATAATTATGCTCATCTGACGTAAAATCACAGAAAATGTTGTGTGTGGACAGGGGGTAAATATCTCACATTGTGGTCACCCTCTATATCTCACATTGTGGTCACTCTATATCTCTCACATTTTGATCACTCTCTACATTGTGGTCACCCTCTCACATGTATATCTCTCACATTGTGGTCACCCTCTATATCTCTCACATTATGATCACTCTCTATTATCTCTCACATTATGAACACTCTCTATGCTCTTAAGATCATGAACACTCGCTATAATTATATCACATTATGGTCACCTTCTATATACCTCTCACTTTATGATCACTCTCCATTTCTCTCACATTATGATCACTCCCTATATTTTTTCTTTTATGGTTACCCTCTATATATCTCACATTTTGATCACCCTCTCCATCTCTCACATTATGATCAATATCTCTCTTACATTACACTCGCTCTTTATATCTCTCTCTTTATGGTCACTCCCTCATACTTCTTCCCGGATGCAATACGACTCTGGAACTCCCTCCCTCAGAAAACCGTAGGTACAAAAGACCCAGCTCCGCTAAAACGGTTGTTTTTACTCGCTCTCTGTTAACCGTACCTTTTATTAGACATTGTACACACATCTGTACTTGCACCTCAACATTATACACCGGACGGTGGCCTGTAATGCAACTGAAGAAGATGATCACTCTCTATGTCTCTCACATATGGTCATCCCCGATACCGCTTGTACTATGATCATGTCTCATATTATGATCACTCTCTATGTCTCTCACATATGGTCACCCCCGATACCGCTCATACTATGATCATGTCTCATATTATGATTACTCTCTATGTCTCTCACATTATGGTCACTCAATGATATTTCTGCTGCAGAGAGTGTGATTTCAATAAAGCAGTTTTATTTTTCACACTGTTTCAAATTAACATGATTGGGAGAGATTTCATTATTTTCAATAATAAATTCATAAAAGTCATGTTTATATTCTAGGGCTAATAGAGATATATGTTATGAATGACATAATCATATTTGTACAGGAATGGTTTCTAGGCATAGATAAAAAGAGGAAAAGTATATCCCTTTTTAAGACGTCCCAATGAAATACCCAATCTCTCATAGTTTGCATGGCTAGTTCATGTGACAAGTTTAAATAACTCATGAAAACATGGCAATTGCTTTCAGAATAAAAACTATCATTTTCTAACATTGTTTTCATATAAGTTTTGAGCAGTTGTTCGAAGCCTTCCATTTGCTAAGTAATCCATATTTCATGCTTTATAGTTGTTTAATTCTATACATCATAATTATCAGTTATAATAACTCATTAAAACAGCAGTTTTCAAACAATCGTGTACTTGCATAAGGCTAAAGGCGCCAAATTTCTTGATTCCAAGTCGTTTTTTAATCAAGTTAAATCAATTAAAGTTGCATTACAAACAGTACAGCATTCTTACCAACATGGCATGTCCATAAACCTCTCCATAGACAAAATATGCTTGTATATCCCTAATTCGAGCTATTATGTGTGCTAAAAATAACATTTTCCTTCTACTTAAGGCAGCAATTTTTATGAGATGTTATATTACACTTTTAAAGCCACTCTCAATATAATCAAATTTGATACCATTTACACACTCAATAACAACATATTTACAAATTACTATTGTCCAATTCTGTATATAATTAGTATCAATGATAATAAACATTAACACTGAAATACAAACTTACATATTTCAAAAGATTATGACATCAAAACCTTAAATTTATACACATAATTTGACCAAACTAGCCAAAGTCTAATTATACATATTTTATACTGCACTGTCAAAATCCCTTAAAAATGGATGTGAGTTTTTTTCACACAGTAAAAGAACACCCTACCAGGTTACTTTTAGTATTACATCCCATTGTTCCTATGCCAACATGGTTTTACAGGGGTGGGTCCAGGACTTTGTAAAAGCAGGTCAACAAATATCTGGCAAGCAAAAAAAAAAAAAAAGGAGGGGGGGGGGGGGGGGAGAATCGAGACCCTGTGACTCCCTGGATCCGACTCTATCATTCTTTCATCATAGTGAGCTTTAAAGTGTACAGATCACCTAAGAAATAGTTTGTCTACATGCACCTAGAACGTACAAGATGATCTTTATAAAACTTCACCAGACTTTCTAGGGGCTATCAGATAGGATTACGAAGAAAAGAAAGAATACCATTAACCCACGCACATGGAACTCATATTGGACTTGGGTGCCATGCAGGCCTCATGATTTTTATGGGCACATAACTGTCAGTCAAGTAGTTTACTCACGAGTCTCTTTTATGTTTTTGTATGTATAAAAATGTATTTAACATTGCGAAATCTCTTTACAGAAGTTATGATTGGTGATCATATTTTTAGTATATTGTTACCACATGGAACTGCTAACGAAACCCCCCCCAAAAAAACATTTTGGTGGTTGGCTCACTGTAATGGGTTAAAAGATTATACTAGGGGTAACCCTATCCTAACCTAAACAAAGTCCTAAAACTAATCCTAAACCTCATAATAAGACTGTATGTTAGCCTATGACCCGTGAGATGAAACATCGTTTAGGGGAGATCAGATCTCCTATGGTATCCTAATCCTATTTACTTTTAACACAGAACTTTTTGCTTTGGTTGTTTCTTAAATAACAGAAGCCCATTGATTTTGTAATTCATGTAGATTTTCTCTAATTTTTCAATGTAGTGACTTCAAGTACACTTTGCACTACTGTAAATCTATATTGCTGATGTTAAAGATAAACTTGAGTTCTGGTAAAAAAAGAAAATGAATTCTCACAGAATCTAACGAAACTTACACTGAATCTTCAAGATTAAAAATAAATGTCATGTGCCAAACAATTTTGGAAGAAAATGTATACTAACTGAGTAATGAGCATAGAAAGATAAAAAAAATCAAGGTAGTACTATAGCCCCGACACCATGTGTGTTGTCCCATATACATCTTTCTGTGTAAGTGATTGTTACTTTACCAAGACTCTGCCAAATTTATGATGATTTTGATGACTCCAGAACCTTGCATTACACACCATTACTTACATGCTATATGATCAACTTTTCTGATCCATTCCACACCTTTTCTTTCACAATGCAATCGCATCACCAGAACTCAAGTTCATCTTTAATTTGTGCTATTTAATACAACAAATGCTTCCAATTGTTAAAAAAAAAAAAAAAAAAGTTTTATTATGAGAGCAGCAGACTTAGCAATAAATCCGGCCTGTCTATAATTTCCATTGCAACAACAGAAAACACGACAATAACCAAACGTAGATCAGGAATAACCTTGAATTAGGGTAACCTTCCATGTTTAATGCAACCAACAAGTATTGCTAAACATGTTTCTTAGTCACTGTCATCACATTGCAGAGGTTTATTTTTTCTTCTGAAGTACCGGTATGACGGAAGGATGAAGAGGTTCACATTATTTTAATCAATCTTGACATTAACTGAACAACTTGGGCAGGGCTTAGATAAAATTGAGTTCCGATCATAAGATTGCATTGTGAAAGAAACCGTCTGGAAGCATTCGGTAAAGTAATTTACGTAGCAAATAAGAATCAGTGTACACTAGGAGTTTTTTAAACAATTTTGCTCAGTCTTGCAGAAACTCACATGCACTGTACACATAAGTGTGTACATAGGACTACATTTACATACGGCATAAAGTTTGGTCCAAATAAGTCGGTGATATTGTGTTATATGTCAAATGTGAGGGCATTTCAACAGTCATTCTTTCTAGGGGATATTTTTCTAAGACATTCTTCTACACTTATTTAAAAAGAATGAAAACCTTACAAAAATATAAAGAACATTTTCCAGAATTTAACCTTCTCTTTACCTGGCAAAGAGTTAGTCTGCATTTAGGAATACTGTACAGTATGTGGATTGTCCTGAGTAACCAGAAAATATAGGGGGGGGGGGGGGGAGAAACATTATTTCATGGAAGAAAGGAGATGCAGGAGACACAAAACAATCATAAACTCATATAAATTGCATAAAGAAAACTGGCAAGAATATTTTTCCCCATACAAAAAAAAAATGTTTCCGTCATCAATACAAAAATATCAAACTTGAGCGGAATTATACCAAAAATGCACTATTGTAATGTTTTCATGGCAAATCAATAAATGGAAAGTACAAAATAAAAAAACAATTTTCATTATCAATATTATGCTACATCAAACTTCAGGTACCCATGACTAAATATGCATAGGTATATTACAATTATTTGACAAAGCCTTTTGTTTACTTTTTTTGTCCAGTTGTATAATACTTATTGTTCTTCATAAGATAAAGGGTTGGCAAATGAATACATGTATTTTCCTTGATCACACAAAGAATCATACATTTTAAAGCTTGCAAATGAATGGCATATTTACATACATTTTTTTAGAACCTTCAACCAGTCATAGATAATATATGAAAAATAAAATGATATACAAACTTGGAATACAATGGAATACAATGACAAAACAGCAAGTGGTCTGTACTATTAACTAAAGTTTATTTTGGTTTTATCTTCTCCATTCTTTTGACAAGATAATTTCTATCTGTTCTACCGGTAGCTACTTTAGTAAATCATTGGTGCCATAAATAATAAATTGGGGGCAAGAGGGCATGCTATGTACAGATAGTTTCAAACTCATACTGGCAAGCTGGTATCCATAAACTGGCAACATCAATACTTGTATGGAAGATAACCATTAGCTTTAACTTCAGAGGTAGGCTCTCTCAACATTAATAAGGCACATTTCACAGTTTTAAAATTTGATGCGTACCTTCTTTTGAAATCACTTTCCATCATCAACTAATAAGTCAATACAAATCTGGGATACATTAAATTTTTTCTGCAATTAATATTCTCACGATATATATAGTCATGCTCTATATTTTTAGGTTAGGATACCAGTGATGTAGTCAGAAGAGTAGTAAGACCAGGTTTTTCCCCCAAGTCTTGCTCATAACAAAAGTTCAAATGCTCAATAAAGTTAATCACAAGTTTTCAACTTCGTAACAATCTATGATTACTTTTAAAAAGCCTCCTTCAACACTGTGGCAGTCTTTGCATCACTTCATGACTTGCTATTAAGCTGCTTTAAACAAAAATTCTTCAATTTTTATTTGTTAAACACATAAGAATATATGACTTTCTTCCAATATGCTGTCAGCTAGTTAGGTGGTATATCAGTTCATATGGACGTCACCCAGAAGGGTGATAAAATCTTAATATTAAAGGATTGAAACCCTTCTGGGTACCAAGAGACAATTGGCAAGAGATAGGCTAAACCATTACAATAAGAATGGAGTTTTAAAAAATTCAGTATTAGCAACAGCACCATCTACAAAGAAGGTCTGAAGAAGCTTGCAGCACAGCGAGAAAAAAGCTTTCCAAAACAGGTCACATTTAATTGTTTGTCAAGAAAAAAATTCTCAAAGGAAGAAATAGTCCTAACGATGTAAGGCACCATATGAATGCACCAGTAGGATTCACCAGGCATAGCGTAGCATATAACACCAAATCCACACTGGTTAATGTAGTTTCAGTATCACCAACTGGAGGATCATTCTGCACAAAAAAGAAACATATCAAATGATATATAATTTTACAATTAATGTAATCAAATTACTGTGGACTTTAAACAATGATAATGAAAGACTAGAGGATATTTAAGGGATTGTGAATATCTGCCCTCACTTGATAATATCTAATCCATTAGAATCATCAGTGGTGTGTTATGCCACAGTTCACATTTAAACTCAAAAAAGCTTTACAAACTTTTGACATTGTTATTCTCTTTTGTCCTAAAACATGAAATGAAGGTTTAGAAGATGCATAAATGGTGATTCTAAAAACATAGTTTAATTCATGCTGCCCTTGTAAGGAATAGTGTCATGTGATTTATATCCAACCAAACATCTATTCTTCAATGGGTAATCCAAACTTAAGAGCAACTCTAAAATAAATCAGAAACAAAAAAGAATCAGGCTGGTGAAAGTTTGAATAAAAATGACAAAAACAATAAGAAAGTACGGTGATGAATTTGTGAAAGTTGTAATCACTATATGTATGGGAACATCAAATTGGCTGACTCTGTATATGTCAAAGTGATGGAGTGCTGGACAACTTTCCCATCTGTTCAAACATAATGTCTATTTCTAAAATGTCTTTTCTTTTTACAGAATTATATTGTTTCCATTATGATTCTGCTTTCATGCAAATTAACATACACTGTATACCAAAGGTTGGATTGCTCCTTTACATATGTATTTAAAAAATGATCCATTTAGCAGCAATCATAGCACATGCATGTTGGCATTTCTTTTTCCACTCAATATGTATGTTTGTGACCTAGTATTTATCTATGAGTGAGCTTTATTTATCCATCTTATTCATTCTAATGCCAATTAGGATTGCCCCCGGTATGTGAAAAAGTTCTTTAAACCTTCCTAGCCCTGGCAATGGCTGGGAACCCCTCATCCAATCCCCTATATATGACCATGATCATACGAATAGATACTTCGAAACCAGCATGCAGGTTGGATCCGCAGAGTGGGGTAGGTGGGAAGGGCTCATTAAGCAATGTAAGTAAAGCTCACTTGTAGATAGAATGTTTGGTCATGACATAAGGCACCCTGAAACTTGCACGATTTTGGTTTGCGCATTATTTCGTGCCACATTCTTGCCACAATGGGAAGCGTTCGCGGAACATGCGGGAGGATGAGGGCCAATGCGGGACAAGGCTTGAAATTAGTGGCAGTTTTCAAAATTTTCAAAATTTTGGCACAACAAATTTGGTGGACGACTTTCGTGAACACTTCGCAAGCTATGCGTATCCTACCCGTGTCGGTACTGACTGGTGAGTACCAATGCCCGAGTGGCTCACATGTATTGTAAATGACCAGTTCATGACAAAATTTACGAATGAATTGCTAACAATTTACGTATCTGCTGCGCATACTTCCCGGAGTTTTCACATTACTTGCACATGGTCTACGCATGCCCAATACGTAATCAAGAAAGGTTGTGACCGCTGAAAGCATGTCGTGACAATGTGTAAAGGATGGCGTTAACATTACGTAAGTATGGAGTAAGTAGGACTAAGTAGAAATAACAACAGATACTTGTAGGTACCGGTAGTAAGATGTGAATGTGTTAAGATTATGCTTGCATGCAAGCGGCTATCAAAATGTCTTCTAGAGGTATTGGCTGAAAGAGGGCGCATATCTGATGGGGTACAATGGTTGACTCACCTCCAGCCTTAATGGCCTGGACTATCCATTGAAAGATGGTATCTGGAGAAACTGAGCAATGGGGGGGGGGGGGGATTGTGAGAGCATGTAAAATGCTACGTCTTCTTCGAGAGGCTGCGGCTAGCAGAAAAACGTTTTTCTTTGTTAGATCTGAAAGGGAGCTATTATACATGGGCTCAAAGGGTGGCTTAGTTAAGGCACATAAGACTATGAAATGATCCATCATGTCACCCTTAAGCTGCTCACAAAGTGGTGGTACATCATGGTCTCCGGTTTTCTATACAGGTCCTCCTTGTTCGGAAGCAACACAGGAGGGTTGAATAGGAGGTTCACCAGAGTTGGAAACCAAGTGCACAATGGCCACCATGGCGCTATCAACAGGTTTACTTTGTCTTCCTGCATGAACCTTCTGTAGCACTCTTGGTATCATCATGGATGGGGGAAATGCTTACCCCAGGATATTCCTCAGTGATATTGAGAGGGCATCCATTGTCAGAGCTGCTGGGTCGTTGTGCTTCATGCAGTATACTGGAAGGGCAGAGGCAAACCGGTCTACTTGGTGAGACCCATATATGTTGAAGATCTGTCTGACAGTGTTTGGATTAGGTTGCCACTCTATATAGAGTACATTGGATTGCTCATATTTCCAATATGTTCATGTGTTGGGTCTTTTATTCTCATATCCAATATCCCTAACTCATTCCGAATCTAAAGCTGCATCCCAACTCATATTCGATGCATCCATGAACATTTTTAGGGAGGTTGCTGTGGCTGTAAAAAGCTTCCCCTTCTGTACAGCCTGTGGGGTAATTTGTGATTATAATGGCTTTGGTCAGAGAATATATATATATTTGGATCTCACTTATTCTCTGTCTGCACTCTCGCACGATGTCTATGATACTTGTAAGTAGGCCAAAAAAATTTAACTAGTGCTTTGCCTGTGTTGCTGATCTGCTGAGTAAGGAACGGCCCATCTGGTTTACTTTGTCTATCCGTGTGGGAGAGGATAATCAAGCCAAATTTTGAGGTCTACGTAGGCAAAGATTTTGATGCCCCTTAGGTGTAAAACGAGTTATCAAGTGATAATTACCTATAATTATAATATGGGTGAAAAGTTGAGGTGCTATTTTCCTGTCAAATTTCAGGCCAAGGTAGAGTTTGTTTCCTACAGCGAAACCAAAAGGATGCTGATCGAGTCAATGGAGCGATAGGCATCTACCAGGTTTATAGAGGCTGCCCATTCGTTTGACTTGACGATGGGCTGAAAGTAGGGCAGATTTTACATTTTGAATGTGGAGTTCAGGATATAACTGTTTAACCTTTTCAAATTCAACATGATGCAAACTTTCTCTTCGTTTTGGGGTTAAGAAGACGGGGGAGATGAGCACATTTTTTCTTTTGAGTGCACTTTTGATAGTTTCTTTCTGAAGTACCGGTAGGGCATTTATTTCTGCCTATAGGGCCTTTAATTTTAGGTGACCTTGAGGCATTTTGTTTTTCTGTATATGTTTGGAGTGTGTTGCTTGGTAAGTTTTGGAATGATATATAATTTTACAATTAATGTAATCAAATTACTGTGGACTTTAAACAATGATAATGAAAGACTAGAGGATATTTAAGGGATTGTGAATATCTGCCCTCACTTGATAATATCTAATCCATTAGAATCATCAGTGGTGTGTTATGCCACAGTTCACATTTAAACTCAAAAAAGCTTTACAAACTTTTGACATTGTTATTCTCTTTTGTCCTAAAACATGAAATGAAGGTTTAGAAGATGCATAAATGGTGATTCTAAAAACATAGTTTAATTCATGCTGCCCTTGTAAGGAATAGTGTCATGTGATTTATATCCAACCAAACATCTATTCTTCAATGGGTAATCCAAACTTAAGAGCAACTCTAAAATAAATCAGAAACAAAAAAGAATCAGGCTGGTGAAAGTTTGAATAAAAATGACAAAAACAATAAGAAAGTACGGTGATGAATTTGTGAAAGTTGTAATCACTATATGTATGGGAACATCAAATTGGCTGACTCTGTATATGTCAAAGTGATGGAGTGCTGGACAACTTTCCCATCTGTTCAAACATAATGTCTATTTCTAAAATGTCTTTTCTTTTTACAGAATTATATTGTTTCCATTATGATTCTGCTTTCATGCAAATTAACATACACTGTATACCAAAGGTTGGATTGCTCCTTTACATATGTATTTAAAAAATGATCCATTTAGCAGCAATCATAGCACATGCATGTTGGCATTTCTTTTTCCACTCAATATGTATGTTTGTGACCTAGTATTTATCTATGAGTGAGCTTTATTTATCCATCTTATTCATTCTAATGCCAATTAGGATTGCCCCCGGTATGTGAAAAAGTTCTTTAAACCTTCCTAGCCCTGGCAATGGCTGGGAACCCCTCATCCAATCCCCTATATATGACCATGATCATACGAATAGATACTTCGAAACCAGCATGCAGGTTGGATCCGCAGAGTGGGGTAGGTGGGAAGGGCTCATTAAGCAATGTAAGTAAAGCTCACTTGTAGATAGAATGTTTGGTCATGACATAAGGCACCCTGAAACTTGCACGATTTTGGTTTGCGCATTATTTCGTGCCACATTCTTGCCACAATGGGAAGCGTTCGCGGAACATGCGGGAGGATGAGGGCCAATGCGGGACAAGGCTTGAAATTAGTGGCAGTTTTCAAAATTTTCAAAATTTTGGCACAACAAATTTGGTGGACGACTTTCGTGAACACTTCGCAAGCTATGCGTATCCTACCCGTGTCGGTACTGACTGGTGAGTACCAATGCCCGAGTGGCTCACATGTATTGTAAATGACCAGTTCATGACAAAATTTACGAATGAATTGCTAACAATTTACGTATCTGCTGCGCATACTTCCCGGAGTTTTCACATTACTTGCACATGGTCTACGCATGCCCAATACGTAATCAAGAAAGGTTGTGACCGCTGAAAGCATGTCGTGACAATGTGTAAAGGATGGCGTTAACATTACGTAAGTATGGAGTAAGTAGGACTAAGTAGAAATAACAACAGATACTTGTAGGTACCGGTAGTAAGATGTGAATGTGTTAAGATTATGCTTGCATGCAAGCGGCTATCAAAATGTCTTCTAGAGGTATTGGCTGAAAGAGGGCGCATATCTGATGGGGTACAATGGTTGACTCACCTCCAGCCTTAATGGCCTGGACTATCCATTGAAAGATGGTATCTGGAGAAACTGAGCAATGGGGGGGGGGGGGGGGGGATTGTGAGAGCATGTAAAATGCTACGTCTTCTTCGAGAGGCTGCGGCTAGCAGAAAAACGTTTTTCTTTGTTAGATCTGAAAGGGAGCTATTATACATGGGCTCAAAGGGTGGCTTAGTTAAGGCACATAAGACTATGAAATGATCCATCATGTCACCCTTAAGCTGCTCACAAAGTGGTGGTACATCATGGTCTCCGGTTTTCTATACAGGTCCTCCTTGTTCGGAAGCAACACAGGAGGGTTGAATAGGAGGTTCACCAGAGTTGGAAACCAAGTGCACAATGGCCACCATGGCGCTATCAACAGGTTTACTTTGTCTTCCTGCATGAACCTTCTGTAGCACTCTTGGTATCATCATGGATGGGGGAAATGCTTACCCCAGGATATTCCTCAGTGATATTGAGAGGGCACCCATTGTCAGAGCTGCTGGGTCGTTGTGCTTCATGCAGTATACTGGAAGGGCAGAGGCAAACCGGTCTACTTGGTGAGACCCATATATGTTGAAGATCTGTCTGACAGTGTTTGGATTAGGTTGCCACTCTATATAGAGTACATTGGATTGCTCATATTTCCAATATGTTCATGTGTTGGGTCTTTTATTCTCATATCCAATATCCCTAACTCATTCCGAATCTAAAGCTGCATCCCAACTCATATTCGATGCATCCATGAACATTTTTAGGGAGGTTGCTGTGGCTGTAAAAAGCTTCCCCTTCTGTACAGCCTGTGGGGTAATTTGTGATTATAATGGCTTTGGTCAGAGAATATATATATATTTGGATCTCACTTATTCTCTGTCTGCACTCTCGCACGATGTCTATGATACTTGTAAGTAGGCCAAAAAAATTTAACTAGTGCTTTGCCTGTGTTGCTGATCTGCTGAGTAAGGAACGGCCCATCTGGTTTACTTTGTCTATCCGTGTGGGAGAGGATAATCAAGCCAAATTTTGAGGTCTACGTAGGCAAAGATTTTGATGCCCCTTAGGTGTAAAACGAGTTATCAAGTGATAATTACCTATAATTATAATATGGGTGAAAAGTTGAGGTGCTATTTTCCTGTCAAATTTCAGGCCAAGGTAGAGTTTGTTTCCTACAGCGAAACCAAAAGGATGCTGATCGAGTCAATGGAGCGATAGGCATCTACCAGGTTTATAGAGGCTGCCCATTCGTTTGACTTGACGATGGGCTGAAAGTAGGGCAGATTTTACATTTTGAATGTGGAGTTCAGGATATAACTGTTTAACCTTTTCAAATTCAACATGATGCAAACTTTCTCTTCGTTTTGGGGTTAAGAAGACGGGGGAGATGAGCACATTTTTTCTTTTGAGTGCACTTTTGATAGTTTCTTTCTGAAGTACCGGTAGGGCATTTATTTCTGCCTATAGGGCCTTTAATTTTAGGTGACCTTGAGGCATTTTGTTTTTCTGTATATGTTTGGAGTGTGTTGCTTGGTAAGTTTTGGAATATACCCTTTCTTGATTATGGACGGTATCACTTTGCTTGTGGACACCTGGTACCATTATAGGGCAATTTTTTTCAGTTTGTTTTCCACTGGGGGATGCCCTGGTAACTCACACTGCGTTCAAATGAGGGTCTAGGGAACTGGTCATATTATTGTCTCTAACAGGAATTTCCGTGTGAGGGTCTCTCATTTGGAGAATGATCTTGTAAAAAAATGCAGGTCCCCTGTTGAGCAAAAAAGTGGCAGGGGGTTTCGCTCAGCTTGTATGCATTCTTGTCACCTAGCTGTGCTTGAGGTGGCAATTTCTTGGCCGAGACGCTAAATAAGGGCTGCTATAATAACATTCATTGTCTTGAAACCTTGCCTATGATGATAGAGGCTGGGCGAGAATGATAGTGGCCGATACACCTTGAGGAATCTGGGGCATGTAATATGGTGGCTAGTGCCAGGTTTTGGGGTTCTGTAGAATAGCCCGTCTGTGCGGGAAGGGACCTGAAGCACCCAGAACACTGGTAATGATGGAAGGATGGGAGACTTTGCTGGTTCTGCATAAGCAGGGCATTGTGCAATAACTGCAGAAGAATTTTGTTCAGGTTTTTTGAGCTCTGCTTAGCCATTGGATTTGGGGCTAATTGGAGCATGCATAAGTAATTCTCTCTTTGGTTCCTTGGCTTATGCAAGCAATTGCGAGGGGGGCAGTACCTCATGTAGAGCCGACGGCTGCTGTGGTAGTCTTAGACTTAGGTTTACCTGAAGATGGCGTGGAATTTTTATATTTTTCAGTCAAAATTGATGCCTCCGCCATAGAGCAATTTTACAAACCAAAACAGAAGCAATTCTTAAAATTCAAGTTTGATTGTAATCCATTAACAGATTCTCAGAATATTGTGATTACAAGCTATTTTTCATATACTGTACATGAATGACTCTTTGACCTCATGACCCTAAAGTCAGTTCATTGGCTCAGCAAAATACATACATGTACTGAGTTTTTATGGTAATCTGTCCCATCGATTCTAATGTGATCACGAGCTATTTTTGCATACATAATGAGCCTGTGACCTTGTGACCCCAAAATCCAATCAGTTCATTACTCTGCAAGATACATATATTACATAACTTTGGCAGGAATCTGTCAATCGGTTCTTGAGATAACGCAATCACGAGAACGGGACGTACGAACGGACAGACTGTACAACCCAAAAACATTACGCTTCCGGCTACTTCATAAAGGAGACATAAAAGTAATCCACCATAACTATACCTAAGATCTGGTTGGGAATGAACAACAATTGCAAGAAAATCAGAAAAAACGTATGGGTAAATTTATTTAGCTTTTTGGAGCTTCCTGAATAAAAGTCTTTCAGAAGAAAAGAGGAAATATTCACGCAGACATAATTATATAAAGGGGATTATATGAGGGGTTTCTCAGCTGTTGCCAGGGCAACGAAGGTTCAGAGAACTTTTCAGCTACCGGGGCAATCCTTATTGGCATTAGAATGGAACAGAGAGGCAAGTAAAGCAAAATGAAGTAGATATGAAGTTGATGCAAACAAGAGTGGAAAAAAAGGTGGAAACTCCGATGCAATATTATAATATAATTTGATTTATAGCCAAATAAACATGAATTTGTGGAAAATTATGTACGGATAAACATTCAAACATGCACTTCACAAGCATGAAAGCCTAAAAATCATTTTCATGCTTTTCCCTTCATTTGTGTGATCAACTCCTAAGTTCCAATTGAAATTGTTACTGAGAAATTAGTGACTTCTTCTTATCCACAGAATGTTTTCCTCAACTTACAATTCAAGATGTATGATGAAATCAAAATAAATTAATAGACAATGATTGTATAAGACGCATGAGCAAGAGGCATAAACTCAAGATGCATCATTCTTTCAAAACTGATGTACGGACAGGCAGACGTGGATCGGTTTTCTCGCTACTAACCCCCATAGAAAGAGAAAAAGGCAGCTTATGATGAAAACTCTCTATTAGGTTCTGAAAACGAAAATCACAATCATACAGCAATCAATAAACAGTTAAACCTACAAACTTTTGTCCGACCCTTTTCCAACCTTGAATGCCGTTTTACTTACCAAAATTACAGACCATAAATTTTGGATTAAAAAGACAATGGGCATGAACTAGATGACAATTGGTAACATACACTGAAATGGATTAAATGATGCACTGCAAATCCTATTGTTAGTACCAGTACTATTAAGTCTATGCAGGAGAGGGGTGGGTTTGAGGGATTGGGATTCAAACTGCCAGTCGAGGGAAGGGAGATTCGCACATACCTAACAAAGTCTGATATTCTGTGTGTGCAAAATAAGAGTTGAAAATAACTTTGTTATCATGGGATTGCACTAAGAGGGTTAAGTGGGAGCAACTCAGCATTTGATAAGGAGGCAGCCAAAGCATTTTTAAAAGGGCAGTGGTAGCACTTTCATATGTACAGTGCATATAAAACGTTTTTTATCAATTTTATTCATCCAAAGAGAGCCAGAAAGGTGTTGACTCTTTGTAAAAAGATATGATGAATGCACTTCTGGCTCCAAACAGATGAACTATTGGTTACTCAACTTGTATGGACAGCATTAATGTTAAGTTCAGTTATATGCAGTAAATTATATTTTCAGTGTCCAAATAAAACATGTTTTTATGTGTCTGCACAGTTGTATATAACAATATATTTCTGTGCACAGACTTTTGACATGTTTTGCTCACTGAAGTGCAGGGCATATTAAAGAAGGAAACGTTTTACATATTTAGCTTAATTATATACTAAAGCATATATATATACATATATATTGGAAAAACCTGCTTTATATTTGGCTCAGTTACCATAACATATATTTTTATAGCACAAACAATCATTTTTGGCTTGCTTATAGAGGAGAAATGGACACTGGAGCCATGGTTAGAATAGGAATCAGCAGTATTAAAAAGGGATGGTTGAGCATAGTCAATCTTCCAAGATATTGTATCAAATCAAAGCGGATAAGTAAGAGTATACATTTTTATATTTAACAGAGGAGTGGCAGTTTGAATATTGTTACATTGAAAAGTGGAGAGGTCAATTGGGTATCATCTATTTATTCACACAGAACATGCATACAGCTGTATTAGCTCTTTCTGGTGAGAAATGTGTTATGCCGCCCTCTGTGAGGCATTGTTTTAATAGTGATATGTTCAAGAGTTGTATGGCCTTTGCACTTTCAGCTTCCATCTCATCAATGTCTGTGTTGATCACATAACTGGTGCCTAAACTTCTAATATATTGTGACGAAGAGTCATTTATTATTTCAGTCCAAAAGTTCAATACAGTTGTATATATTCATTCATACATGTTACATATGCTAATGTCTGTTATTAAAATGGATAGTCCATTCACTTCATAATACTCCTAAGAATTAGTTTGATAGATTTGCAACAACAGAAATGTCATAGTTTTAACATAGAAATTGTGTATTATCAGAATTGTGAGTAATCAACATCATTATCGTATCTACTAACCAGTTTATAGCCCGGGTGCAGTATAGTCATATATATCACTCTTTGTTCTTTCAAGGCAGCCAGTTGAAAAATGGATAATAAAAGATGACTTCTGCTCTAATTTTGTGAAAAATACTTTACTCCCCCTTCCTATTCTATTTGTAATTGTTAAGGTCTAACGCCACTGAATTACTAATTGTACATGAGCAGAAAATGCAAAAATCGCTGGAGAAATTGATTCTATTTCTGTTCCATTACATTGTGCCTTTCAGGAATAAGAGCGATTTAATACAAGAATAATTTTTGTCAATATTTTTTTTTTTTCACTAACACTATTCATTTAATGTACATTCTTATTTTCAAACTATTTTGCAAAGTTAAAGAGGAAAATTTGTTTAGACACTTATAAACTCTGAACTGCTATGCATTAATATTGTTGTTAGCGGTGGGATATGAACCAGACCCATTGCAATGTATAAGGTCTCTTAGCCTCATATGGGATATGAACCAGACCCATTGCAATGTATAATATCTCTTAGCCTCTACTGGGATATGAACCAGACCCATTGCAATGTATAAGGTCTCTTAGCCTCATATGGGATATGAAACGGACCCATTGCAGTGTCTCTTAGCCTCATATTTTTCTTGTTAGGCAAAACTGGATCAATACACCTTTTCATTACTGGTACAACTAGACAAAACTTGGAACTCTTTCATTTCTAAAATCAATATGAAGTTTGTCAGTAAGGAACTAAACATTATGGGAACAGAAAAACTTACCATATGCCTTCATGGGTAATGTGTCCAGGTCATTCCTGTTAGAAGCAACCAGAAGGAGAAAGAATCTGTCATACACTACTCTATGAATGCTTTCTCTCCCAACATTTCACTCAGGCTGAAACATATAATGATATTCTTCTAAGTATTCTTCTAGGTAGAATAATGAAACTATGGACGCAAGCCATTTTGTAATAGGCGGCAACATTTTCAATGATTAAACAGTATTAATGCCATTGAGTGCTTTAATCCCTCAATTAAAGAATAGTTAAGGGCTGTGGTGGGAGTGTGGGAGGGTAGGGGAACTAGCCTTAAATACTGATGCCCAAGAGGTTTACTCATTTAAAATATAATGTGGTTACTACTATCTACTCTATGGGAATGTTTTCCTATTTTCATTAACAAATCCCCTTCTTGCTCTTGTTATCAATTAACTATTATCACCTACATGTATGACTCGATTCTATCTAACTAAACTCCTTTTTTCAATGGATTCCATGCATGATTTTAGAGATCCCATTGCTCAGAATTCTTAAGTAATTTACTTACTCTCCATATATGTCTTCAAAGAACTTCATTCGCCTGTAGTATTTGGAAAGCTTAACGGCAAGTACAATACTTGGAATAAGAAGTAGCACACAACCTCCCAATGTAAACCACAATGAATTCTAAGAGAGAGTTGGAGAGAGAGACATATACATGTATATATATTATAATAATACATTTAACTAAAAAAACTAAATCATACCTTTATAGCACATAATACTGGAAAGTCTCTATGCGCTTTAGATTTGTAAAGAAAAAGGAAACTTGTCGGCCTAGTAGAAAATAAGATAAACTAGAAATATCGCAATCAGTATTGCTGTGCAATGCGATTGTATGCCCTGGCAGTGGCAGCAATTTTGTGTCATCCTTGTGTTCGAAGGAGGGACAAAGATCCCCTCTCCCCTCCCTGTAATAAAAGGATGACGTAGAGATTGCCATTAGTGGCTCAGATTATTGTCAAAACTAGGAGAAGCATCACCAAAACAATATGTGTGTAGATTAGAGTATAATGCATCTCTGTAGAAAATTTGAAAGAAATCTGTTGAGAAATGTGGCAATATAAGCGCCAAAAGACAGCCACCAAAATATGACCTTTGACCCTAAAACAGACAGTACACAGGTGGCAGCATCACCAAACACTAAAGATGTGCAGATTGTACTAAAACACACGTCCATACAACATTTGAAAGAAATCTGTCAAGAAATGTGGCAGTTAAAGCGCATAAAAGACATATGACCTTTGACCATATAGAAGACGGAACCATAAGGGCAGCATCATCAAACACTAAAGATATGTAGGTATGATAAAAATACACCTCCATTCAAAATTTGAAAGAAATCCTTCAAGAAATGTGGCAGTAACAGCGCACCAAATGGACAAATGACCTTTGACCTTATAAATGATAGAACAATGAGGGCAGCATCACCAAAAAGGAGAGATGTGTAGATTGTACCAAGATACATCTAGATGCAAAATTTGAAAGAAATCCGTCATGAAACATAATATGACCTGCAGAGCGCACACTAGTTACCCACCAAATATGACCTTTTGACCCTATAAAACATGGGACACTGATGGCAGCATCCATACTCAATTTGAAAGAAATGATGCAGTTAGACCTCACACTAGAGTGCACACAAAATATCTATCAAAATATGACCTTTGACCCTATAAACAACGGAACACTGGAGTCTGCATCACCAAAATTTATAGGCTTGTAGATTATACCAAGATACACCTTCGTTCAAAATTTCAACAAAATCCCTTGAGAAATGTGACCTATAGAGCACATACAAACCATCCACCCGAATATGGCCTATTACCCTATAGAAGACGGAACACTGGGGGCAGCATCACCAAAAGTTATAGGTGTGTAGAATATACCAAGATACATCTCCATACAAAATTTGAAAAAAATCCCAAGGAATGAAGCAGTTAGACCGCACACTAGCGTGCACACAAGACATCAATCAAAATATGACCTTTGACCCTATTAAAGACGGAACATTGGAGGCAGCATCACCAAAATCTATAGGCTTGTAGATTATACCAAGATACATCTTCGTTCAAAATTTGAACAAAATCCCTTGAGAAATGTGGCCTATAGAGCGCACACAAACCATCCACAAAAAATATGGCCTTTTACCCTATAGAAGACGGAACACTGGGGGCAGTATCACCAAAAGTTATAGGTGTGGAGATTATACCAAGATACACCTCCATGCCAAAGTTAAAAGAAATCCATCGAGGAATGTGGCAGTTAGAGTGCACACAAGAATATGACGCAGCGGCGGCGGTGGCGTAACGCTGCTGAATCCAAAGTACCCATATTGATACAATTTGAAGTATACAAGGCATAGGAAATTGAATTCTATTTACAACTTAAGTACTTATTAAGAAAGAATAAAAAACTACAATGTGTCTAGTAAACATAATTATGCTACAAATAATAGTTTAGAGGTTTATTTTTTTTACATACAAATTATAAATCAAATTATACACAGTAAATTCAATATAGCAATAACATATTTTTTTTCGTAAATATGTACATGTAGGTCTTGAGTGCAGTCTTGAAGGTTTGTCGAATTGGTGCAATATGAATGGCGAGGGGAAGACATTGAAGTTGAATGAAGTATTTATTTATTTATTTATTTATTATTTCTGATATTTAGACAGGGTGACTCATTATCACCAATAATGGTGGTCTCCCATGAGGCCTTGTTAAACATAATAAGGAACAATAGTTTAAAAAAATATTAATAATGATAATAATGAAATCATGAACATAAACTCATAACAGCAACAAAGAATATAAGCAGGGACATGCTATGTCCCTGATATAAGTAAGAACAGGTATAAACATATATACAAAGTATTTAGTATTTGGTATCCTAGTAAAAGTGAATGTTTTTTTTGTTTTTGATTTGCTTTGCTTTGCTTTTTTGTTCAAGAAAATGTTGTTGCATGTTTATAATATCTTAATATAACATTATAGTTAAGACGGTAATAAGTTTTTAAATCCGATGAAAACCAACTATTAGCATATTTCGGTATGTCAAGAAAGGCCAGTCCCTTATTGTGAACAAAACATAGTGCCTCATGCAATTACTTCTCACACATAATTATTACAAAAGTAAACAAAATTTCAGTTACCAGAGAATCTGATGTGTAATCACAGAGTACCATGTCAAGGGATGAGTAGACCGATGCTATAGGCCTGCAGTGCCCAAAGTCTGTTGTTAGCTATAAAATTCACAGAAGCAGTTATACAAAGCAACAGTAACATACTTAATTTTTATTAAAAATGAAATCAATTTTCAGTCATTCTCAGATATTCAAACACTGAAAACAAAGATTTAAAGTTAGAGGTGATAAAGTAATGTAAATGAAACTAGTACAGTGTAAGGAAATAAGGTGTTTAAAAAACATTAATTAACAAAGAAACTGTCATGGAATTGTCAATGTTTATTGAACAGGAAAACTAGTGTCAAATCTCACTAATATCTGATTGTAGTTTATCACACTGTGAGTTATTCCCTTTTTAACAATCTACACAATATCTCACTTGAAACTTTCCAATACATAATAATATTTAAATACAGATTCATGTAGTCTTTGAAATACAGGAGTACATTCAAATCTCTTTTAGAGTATTTAATTCTTGCTTATTTGACCAAACATAGCTTTGAAGTATATATATATTTGGCATTGTGAACATTTCTTGCATTTTATATGTATTATAGCTGACAAATCAAATAAAATCAATACCTCATATATGATGTGATCTGCAGTCTGCTCTAGGTAACCAACCAAATTATCTCTAAACCTTTTGATTTCCTGAAAAGGCAACAAAGGATTAATTAATTTTTTGTTAAATCGTTATACAAAACCATGACCCTTATACTATTACACAGTACGATATATATAATGAGGTTGGACTTACTCGGTATTAGGGCCGACTTGGCAATAGGTTTTCTCAAATGGAAGAGACCACTACAAAAACAGATTTCAAGTTTTATAGAATTGTACATGTAGCTCTTCAATTTTCAACTGTACCTTTTAACTAATTGTTCCTATCCAATACTCTTAGGTTTGGGTGTTCACAAGGACTAGCTTCATGCAAATATTAATGCAAGTATTTGCAATAAATTAAGTTCTTGGATAACTTGACCAACATTTCTGCCAAGGCCAAGTTGGCCCTGGTGCTGAATTAGCCAGGATCCAATTAACTTATAATTTTTCTGATGTTTTGTAGATAGAAAAATTCGTATTTCTTCCCTATCTTCAAAAATTGACTGATACTAACGTTGGTTAGAAGCAGAGCCCTGTAATACGAAACAAATAAAAAAAGCCAATAAAGCAATCAATTAATTAATTGTGTTGCGAGAGCCAGCACAGCATTTAACTTTATGAAATATGATAATGTTTTTGTTATGATAATGGGCTTGCTTCACTCAGCAGTCAACATTATTTATTTGCCATTGCATCAAAGAAGACTAGAATCAACATTAGCTCATACAGAATATTACATATTATTACCCATACAAAGCATTTTAGCTGTTATATAAAAGTCATATTTTGCACGCTGCTCCGAATATGAAAACGGTGGGGCAATATTTGCCATATTGCCCTCTTCCGGGTTTTCCCTGTAGACCACTGTACTAAATCAGAGGGCAAAATTATGCCATATTCCACTCTTTCTTGTCAGTGCGCTTTTATTAAAGTGAATACGCGCAGTTTTGTGTAAGCGCAGTAACAATTTATGTCACAATTACATTTTTATACATTTTCATCTCTGGACAAGAGTAAGGGGAAAAAAAAAACATGCATACATGGTGAGTAAAAATCATGCTTGAAACCAAAGTTATATATCATTTGTAAAAAAAAAAGCCATGTATAGGTAATAATAGTTCTATTGAAAGGGCTTCTTGAGGGGTACATCAGAAATAGTAACTGTGCTAAGACCATATTGCCCTCGGCTTTCGACTCAGGCAATATGAGCTCAGCTTGGTCAATATTTCTGATGTACCCCTGAAGCCCAGTCTATATAATATATTTATACAATACAGAATTATAGAATTGTACATTACTTGTACATTACATTTTTATGGTACTGTTCCTGCATTTTATCACACTTGATTTATTAAGCATGACTACTTTACCTCTTCAAGTATTACCGGACCATCATTGCGAAGAAACGACTCTGTCTCATAAACCCTTTCTAAAGTTCCATTAATCATAGCCTGAAAAAAATTTATTCAAACATTCAATATCATTTTTTGTTTAAATCATCCCTAATTGTTACATGCAGTTTGGCTTGAAATTTCAAGACTCTTCTTATTACACTTACTACAGATATAATATTCACAGCATTGAAAAATAATGTTTACAATCCATTCCATATTTAACAATTTTTTTTTTACAGCAAAATTAGAAGCTATTGTGACCCCCAAAACAAACTCATAAACTATAAACTTATATTTTAATATTTTATGTACACAAATCACGAAAATGAGCAATTTTCGGGCTGACATGTAAAGACAAGACGTCACATGACTTTGTAACGGTAGGTCCGATTATCGAAAAATTTGTTTCAAAAGATGCGCAAGACCTGAAAGAAAAAAGTAATAACATGTCAGCGCAAGAGTATTTTGCGTTACAAAATCATCATGAAAAATGTAGAGGGGGGGGGGGGGGGGGCTACATAGGGTTGATATGACGATAACAAAGGCCAAATCTTGGAATATCATGAGTTGACCTCTGTGACCTTCGACCTAGCTACTACAAAATCTAATCAGATTGTCTTCCTATGGTGATACATACTACTACCATCAAGTCTGAAGCCATATCTCATCTAGTTCTTGAGATATTGGGATAACGGGAAAGCCAGACGAATGAACTGCAACCCAAAACACATAATGCCTCAGGCACCACCTTCGGTGAGCAGAGGCATACAAAATGGAGAACATTGTCCCTAATAGGAGAGGTTACAAAAATTGCTCCAAACAATAATTGTTCAGATCTAAATTTTTGAGGAACCATGCAAGCTCTTATCTCCAAAATAATCCCATTTTTCTGGGAACTAAATTTTGTTGGCAATCCCACAGCCTACCCCTCCAATACTTTCTGAGTGAGATTTCCTCTCTAGGATTAACGTCCCAACAAAAATCTCCTCGACCCTTTCATAGTTCCAAAGGGAGGGGGACAGCATTGTAACCGGTCTAAATTACTTGTTTTTCACATTTTCTTGTCAAATGAGAAACTTTCAACCCCTTCTGTTTATGTCTAGTGAAATACCCTGCCAAGGAAAAGGAATTGGGGAAACAGAGAGAGAGACAGAGAGAGAGAGAGAGAGAGAGAGAGAGAGAGAGAATGAGAGAGGTAAAGAGCGGGCAAAAGGGTAAAAACTGGAATCACATGTACAGGAGAAAGGGCGCACTCTTATTCGCTCTTAGGTTGAAAAACCAGTTTTACGTGTCACTTCCGTTTGCTTTAATAGGTGCTTTCTAACAATTCATATTCAGTAGTCCATTTTGCCAATTGGAAGACAATATTGAAAACAGTAGTTTCCCATTGTCTTATAATTTCTCAACAACTTACCGATAAGTACTGTGTCTTGCTCTGTAATGATGTTAGCTTACTCTTTAGCACATTCTGTTGGAGAAGAGTGTAAACATAACATCATACCATTCAAAATCTTCAGGGACCCGTTTCTTGAAACCTACAGTAAGATAGTTATAACTTTGGTCGCAAACTATGGAGATGTCTCTGATTTTCCTAAACTGTTTTACGAAGAGCTTAATAGCTAGACATCTCGTGATACCGATACTATCGGCGATAATAGAAGCCAAGACATAGCCTTAGTTGTAATTACAGGTTATTTTTAAAAAGCAATTCTAGTAAAACAGCAATTATATCAATACATTCAGAAATACAAAGATTGAAAATAGTAGCAGGGGACAAGAGATGCACAGCATCTCAAAGCATATATCCATTTGCACTTCGAAGTGGAATACCTTATAAATTACATTGTACACAACCTAAAGAAAGTGCCCCCTATTTTGTTGTGATGACCCTTTTTTGCTGGTAATAAAATTAATGGGAGAAAAAGCACCCCAAAATCTGAACACCATTTTTCTTTCTGGCCTTTATTATTTGTTTTTCTCTCTCCCTCTAAAACGTGGTGGCCAAATACTTTCTATTTTTCTATATTTCTCTTCCCTTCATAGCATTATTATCAAACAGGAATACATCTCTCTTACCACTTTAGACTGCATTGGTTTGACAAATGTATTGGTAAGTGTCGTCAGTTGATAAGCATGACTGTGCAACATGTTACTCAGCGTCTGCAAAGGTAACAAGAGTTTCAAATTCAATTAATCATATATTCAGATTACTTCAATGCAATTCTGAATAAATAAAATTTACAAAGGATTCATAAATCACTGAATTTAAAACAGAAATGGACATTCTAAAAAAATGTACACAAATACAACAACAGGGGATTTTCACAAGTTACAGCCTGGTGACAACCAGAGGAATATTATCTCTATGTAAAAATATGTGTACGTAACTTGTCACAACAGAGTCTTGCAGAAAAACTTGAACACATAACCTTTAACCAAAGCATGTGACCCTCGACAGCACCGTAACACGAAGATCCCCAAAGTGCATCTCTGATCTATTAAAGTTTGGTCATAATAGGATGAACAGCTGCCAAGTTATTTGTCACAAAAGAGTGATGCAGATAAACTTTAAAGTGTCCCAATCATATTCAAAAAATGAATTGTGTATGACTAGAATGTATAAAATCAACCTCAAAAGACTTCATCCCGCATCCTGTGGGCTAATGGATAGGGAGTATGAGGGAAAATAAAGAACAATTTTAAAATGCACATACGGGACCCAAGTCGAACTTGGGTTCAGTACAGGCCCTATTTTATGCAAGCACGTATCTGTATGTGAAGTAGCATACTCATAAGTCACTTTTAGATTGAAATTAAACTTGCCAAATCCCTTTTCATAAGTAACATTTGATGATCATATTATAGTACTACCACATAGAACTACAAAAATACAGAACAAAGGATTTTTGTCATGATTCATCCATTTGGCCTTATTTCCTTAAATGACTATTAACCTTAGCAAGTGACCCTTGATAGCACCATAAACTGAAGGCCCCTCAAGTGCATCTCTGACCCACGGTCGGTCACAATAGGATTAAATGGTTCCCAAGTTATGTGTCATAACAGAGTCTTGCAGGTACACTTTAATAAATGCGATGGACGACAGACACAATATGGATCCCTTAGTCTCGACTCCAACCTTGGTTAGCGCGACAAAAATAGTACAGTTCTATATTTGGCTTTAATAATAATAATAATAATAATAATAGCCTAATAGTCCACTCCAAATTTTATTAGACCGAAATGGAAATTCTTTTTGCCCAATTGATCATGAGCCCTGCAGCCACTGAGCAGCGCCAGATCGACGTTGCTCTATCCCTTATTGTTGAACGCCAAACAAGGTAGCACAATTATGAATTTGATTATATTATTACATGTATAACAAAATTAAATAATAGCGTGTGGTCTTACCATATTTGTCACACTGTTTGCTGTGGTCCTCAGAATAATGGCATAGTCAGTCAGGTTTACTTTGGTAATACTCTGATTTATCTATCAAAAAGGGAAAGGAAAAAGGGATTATCAATAAATGGTATATCTTTAAAAAGGACATTTTTATTTACAACAGGATATCTTAACTTTAAAGGTAATCTGTTGTGGAATGAAAAATACCATATTTCTGTAGAATGGAGAAGAAATAAGGAGGGAGGGAGGAAGGGAGAACGGAGGGAAGGTGAAAGAAAGGGAAGAAAGAGAAGTACTTGTAGGCAGGGAGACCCAGAAAGAAATAGAAAGAGAGAGAGAGAGATTTGACTATCTTACCTCTTGGAGTATACCTGAGATGTTGATCTTATCACCAGCATCTCTGATACGAATGAGTGATGATTCTACTCTGTTGTCTAATGTAGTGAAATTAGATAGGTCCATAGATTCTAACACAAAGGAAGACTGGATCAAAGAGACAAGGGATAAACAAATATAAATATATGAACACTGTATCCATGTTTCATAAATATAATAGCTGCCTCAACATGCAAGTGCCTCAGCACCTTGATCGTGGTCTTGACATCAATTTCAAACTCATAAGAATTACATTTGGATAGATAAACTGCAAGAAAACTTTGAATCTATTAAAGGCTAAGTCCACTCCAAAAATAATTTAATTTCAGAAGTTACAAATGATGGCTTTTCCCATCAAAGAAATTACATTTAACTTAAAGGTATAGACTGGTAGTGGTAAAATTGCGGTTCAAGGGTTTTGGGTGCAAAATGTCCATTCAATATTGTTTAAATATTGCCTTCAGAGGTTTAGATGGCAATACTTCAACCTGAATTAGCAAAAAAGCAGAAATATATGCCAAAATGTACAACATTGAAGTGTATTCGCAATATCTATCCAGGCCGGATCGATATATATATATATATATATATATATATATATATATGATAATTTACCAAATATATCAATTAGTAGGCAGTTTCCTGGCAAAATTTGTATCATCATGTATTAGTCAAAACATATTCTCTCACATGATTGGTAATAAGAGCATCCATTTCATTTTTTGAGAGGGGGGCCTTTCCAAAACTGGTCTATACCTTTAACAAGATAATTTAAATTTTGGTTATTTCATTTCTTGTGAAGCATGAAAAGAAACAGTATAACCACAGAGGAAAAATAACAGTGTTGCCAATTAATTCAATACCATAGGGTGAATTCACAATTAACCGTGCCCCCAGCAGCAAGCCGCGACAAGGCAATTGTTTAACTTTCAGGTTGACATCTTTCAACCAGTGTAGGGCAGTGAAAAACGAACGCCACAGTTCGAAATGACCTACGGTAAATGGTCCAAACTGAGTAAATTCATTCAATGGAATCGACTGTTCTGATATCAGTGCACACTTTAATATTGAATGTGGATGTAAATAACGACTCATCAATTGGTTCTGACTGAAAATTTAGTCGGATTTTGGGCAAAAATCAATACAAAACATTAAAATTGATGTTAACAGCTCCACATCAAGTGACAGTGATGATGATGAGGAAGTAGATGATCTAGAAGGGAGAGGAAGACTAAGAGAAGAAGAAGACGGCATTGATGCGGGGCAAGTCATAGCCTATCTGAACGAACCTAAGCCATGGGCGTGGGAGCCAGAGACAGGCTCGGCTTGTGACTACTGTGAAATAGGCCCAGACTGGGTGATATATTTTGCCATTTTGGGAAAGTTTAAGATCATTCTTCACAAATTTCAAGCAGATTAAATCATAGACGAATCAATGCGGGATTCAATCCTTCAAATATTGATTACAATTAGATCTACATGCATCGGAAATGGAACTGCATCATAATGATTTTCAGTCTCGGAATTGAAAACACAAGCAATGAACTGCCTAGGACATTATCATCATAATCATCATCTTTCCCAGTCAAACAACAAAAAAATACCAAAATATTTGGAATAACCAAAATGCTCAAATTATACAAATGGCATAATTAATATGCCATTTTAAAGTTTATTAACACAAATTTGCCAAGCTCCCTGTCCCACGTATGACGTCAAGATGCAGGACCCGTATATTTCGCTTTCAAGCCAGCCTGATTTTAAGTTCTAAGAAGGGTCTTGGTAAATGCTTATCAAAGTGTTTAATTAATATTTACACAACCTTAAAGGTACTATGTCCCATTTGCAGGCCAAAAAAAATTAAATTCCAACGGCATTTGAAAGATAATACTAATTTAGAACTTCCCTAAAAAAAGGGGGGTCTTGAAAATGTCTTTAAGTGGGAAAATAACGACTAGTAGTTGTTGAATCGACTTAGGAGCTATAGAGCCAGTAAGTAATAGTCTCGATTTTCAGACCATTGTACTGAATAGTTGTACGTTTTATGCTGCACAAAGATTCAATCAGATTAATTTTGGTTATTACAAGCAGTGTGTTATTGACGTAGACAAATGCTCATGTACCCTTTACAGCTCATTTTATGTATGTTATTACCAAAGAAGAAAAAAAGCCAGTCAGTCACTCAAAAGTGTCTGACAGTGAAGTCTAGCAAGTAAACGGATTGTCCTTGCATAATTTGAATACTAGGACAATGCTAACGTTTAAATTTCACAGATAGGACTTACATGACATATTCATAATTCCTGCAAAGTTCTACAGAATTTGATGTTGGCTGCAAAAAGGACAAACTGTAGTATCGCAAATGATTCATGTTCTCAATGATATAAGCTTTCCTTAAATGTATTACTTGCCCATTTTGTGAAATTTCTTCGCACAGCTACAGTACTTTAAGGGTGAAGTACGAGATCTATAGGCCCAAGGCCAAGGATTAATCTAGCGGCACAATTCTGGAGAGTTTCAAGTTTCCTTTTATTTTTAACACACAAAACAATATAAAGACTATTGCAGTAATTCAACAGGCCAGCCCTGATTTTTGGTCAAAATGGAACCATATGTCGGTGATGGGGGTCAATCTGACCACTTTTTGAAGAAAATATTGGCCCAAATGGCTCAAACATTTTGAGAAGGGCCAATACAACTGATAGTTTCAGAAATCAGTGCAAAATTTTACCCCCGGATAAAAATATATTCAAACCATCCCACAAAAAAATTGAATTCCTTATCTCCTAGGGTATTTGCCACAGCTGATATAATGCATAATTACAACTACATGTAGACACCCACCATAATATGACCTTTGACCCTGTAATAGACGAATACAGGTGGCAGCATCACCGAACACTAAAGATGTGTAGATTTGATCAAGATACACCTCCATACAAAAAATTGAGAGAAATGTGGCTGTAAGAGTGCACAAAAATGGATAAATGACCTTTGACCTTATAAAGGATAGAACAATGAGGTCAGCATCACCAAAAACTATAGGTGCATAGAATTTCTTAATATGCAATGGACTGATGTGTTGCTTGGTTTCAGAAAAAATATGAAAGATAATATATTGTAAAATCATGTATTGATTTTGGTCAAATATATGATTTACAGTAATCGTAAAAATGGAAAGTTCCCAACTAGTAAAGAAATATGTAAGGCTGTAGAGAACTCAAAAAGAGTGGAACATGAAAAAGCAAAATTAAAGGACAAACTGCCAATACACTTACAAAAATGGGAAAATTTTACCCCTGAACTGAACTGATTGTATAAATATTGTAACTCCTGTTTCCTGTTCACTCCCTCACTTTCTCATCGATCCGGACACTTATCTGCTATCGTATTTGCTTGTTTTTTATATTTTATATATATATATATATATATATATATATATATATATATATATATTTTTTTTTTTTAAATAACGATATAGTTACAGACCTCCACTGAAACAAGACCCTTATATAGTTATAATGAAAAATGCACCATATCATTATATGTACATATAACAAATTTTGTTATCATGGGTTATGAAGCAGCACCTTCACCTTATACTTTTTGTTTATATAAGAAAATCTTTGTTCAGATTGCTTAATTTATATTGAACTAATTAATTTGCATATTATGTTGTAAAAATTGTTCCTTTTTATAATGTTGTATCCAAGTATTACCGTCACCTTTTCCTTTTTTAAAGGAATTGGAGTGTTGGCTCAGTCAGTAGAGCGTCCGCCTCACAACCGGGAGGTCGTGGTTCGAACCCCGGCCGCGTCATACCAAAAGACGTTAAAAGATGGGAGTTGTTGCTACCTTGTTTGGCGTTCAACAATAAGGGATAGAGCAACGTCAGTCTGGCGCTGCTCAGTGGCTGCCGGGCTCACGATCAATTGGGCAAAAAGAATTTCCGTTTCGGTTTAATAAAATTTGGAGTGGACTATTAGGCTATTATTATTATTATTATTATTATTATTATTCTGTACACTTGTTTGAATGTGTACTATATTAGTTTGGATACTTATGAAAAATATTTTTTAAATATGTCTGTGTTTATAATATATGAGACAATGTACTACATGTATGTTTATACTGTAAGAACAATTGTGTTCCTATTCATCATTTTGTATAATTATGAAGATCTGAATAAAGGCAAAAAAGCTTTAAAAAAAAAAATAGAATACCATTATACACTTCCATACTCAATTTGAAAGAAGACCGCATATCTAGACCGCACACTAGAGTGCAGCAAGACATCTATCAAAATATGACCTTTGACCCTATAAAAGACGGAACACTGAATGCAGCATCACCCAAATCTTTAGGCTTGTAGATTATACCAAGATACATCATCGTTCAAAATTTGAACAAAATCCCTTGGGAAATGTGGCCTATAGAGCGCACACAAACCATCTACAAAAATATGGCCTTTTACCCTATAGAAGATGGAACACTAGGGGCAGCAGAACCAACAATTACAGGTGTGTAGACTATACCAAGATACACCTCCATACAAAATTTGAAAAAAATCCGTCCAGGAATGTGGCAGTTAGAGCGCACACAAGACTATGCCGCGAAGGAGGACGCGGCGGCGTAACGCTGCTGAATCTAAAGTGCCCCTCCGGCATACTGCTGGGGGATACCATTACAATACAATACTAGGCAGCAGGGGGCAAGGAGACAAGGTTTCTTCCAGCTTCCATAGAAAATGCACAGCAGAGTCAACTAATTTCTTCCTGGATCTTCATCTGCGTGCAGTCGAAAATGATGCCTCCCCCATAGAGCGATTGTACAAACCAAAACAGAAGCAACTTTTAAAATTCAAGTTTGATTGTAATCCATTAAACGTTTTTCAGAATATCGTGATTACAAGCTATTTTTCATTTACATGTATGACCCTTTGATCTTTGACCTCATGACCCCAAAACCTGATAGGTCCATTGGCTCTGCAAGATACATACATATCCTGAGTTTGATGGTAATCCCTCCATCGGTTCTAATGATAATGCGATCACAAGCTATATTTTGCACACATAATAAGCCATGTAGTGTGACCTTTGACCTTGTGATCCAAAATCTACTCCGTTCATCGGCTCTGCAAGATATATACACGACCCAACTTTGGCAGGAATCCATCAATCGGTTCTTGAGATAACGCGATCACGAAAACAGGACGGACAACCCCAAAAACAGAATGACTCAGGCTATTCGTTTCGGAGGCATAAAAATAATAATTTGAGTTTAGTTACTCAATGTCAAACTTACGTTCAGCTCTGAAGACTGCATTTCAGCAAATCCATGTGATCAACAAACAACAAATTATATATAACATTAATAAATAAAATAACCTAGAAAGATAACCAGCGTAACAACACAAAATGACCAAAATAAAAGAATATAATAATATGACAAGAAAATAAACATATGAATGTATGATAAAGAAAAGTCTGTCAAAACTTGAATACCGGTACTTAGGGAGAGAAAAAAGGAGAGGTGGATAGAAAGATAACAAAAAAGGAGAAATATAAGGAGTAATACAGGAAAACAGGAATTATGAAGAATAGAGAGAAAACAGGAGAAATGAGAGACAGACAGAAACAGACAGAAACAGACAAACAGCTAACTGATGATGATATACCGGTATAAGAAATAATATGTAAACACATAAATTTGGTATGGAGTTTCCTCCGTAGTCTTTATATAAGTTTTTAAGACTATTTCATCATTCCTCTAAAGAAATTTATTCATGTTTTTTTTTCTTCTTTTTTGGGGGGTGGGGGGGGGGGGCTAATCTGAAGTATCTGGGCCCCCCCACCTGGGCTAAACTCACCTTGTTGTAATTGAGTAATAGCTCTGCGATTGTGGTGGTAATGTTTGTATCAATGGTAGTCAGGATAGCTGCATTCTGTTCACATTTACTGCAGGATAACAACAAGAAATATTTCATCTTATAGATATACCTAAAGACATCCATGTGGTTACATGCCATAAAAGACATGCCCTTGCAAACATTGATATCATAATAAACATGATCATTCCCAATTAATTTTACCCGTACGACGTTAATACCTGTATCTCTGTAAATTCCATAAATGCTCAAGATACAGGTACTATTTTTGCTATAAATTTGATACCATATAATCAAAACCGTATGAACAGGGGGGGGGGGGGGGAGGAGTGGTACTCCCCAAATTCAATCCTCTTTTGCCAAACTTTGGAGAAAAACACTAAACAAATGCGACTGCACCTCCTATATGCCTCCGCCCTAAATTCAGTGTAGGAAATGGATGGGATTATTTGTGGCATATTACAATGAAAACAAAAAGCCTATAATCAAATTCATCTGACTATGATCTACTAGCCCCAAAACATAATTAAATCATCTACCTATAGTAATACTGTCACCAAGTGTGAAGCTCATACCTCCAGAAATTCTCGACATATTGTGATAATAAGGGTAATACATGTACCTCTAATTAAAAAAAATTCACCACTATAGAGTACCGAAGCTGACATCTTAAAAAGCTATTTTTAGAATTTCGCAATTTTTTAGAGCATCAAAAATAATGTCTGAATGTTGAAAAACCAATTGAATATGTTAAGTATTGGCTGAGATATGACCAACTGAATAAATATATGTCCAATGGGAACTCAGTGTTATAGTGCTCTGGTTCCTAATGTTATGAACCAGAGCACTATTACACTGAGTTCCCATAGGACATCTATTAATTCAGATGCAGATTGCTTGATAATAGAACAGCCCCAGAAAAAACTCATGAAATAGATAAACACATTTATTAAGCAGAAACAGATAGGTAATTGAAAATACAAATTTTGATGATATTGACAAAGTAGATGATGATGATGATGATGATGATGATGATGATGATGATGAAGATGATGATGATAATGATGATGATGATGACGATGATGATAATGATTTGAATGAACGAAGAGATGACATTATGATAAAGACTGATAAGTTGACACACAAATTTTACCTTGAATATTCTGATAACAACATTGTTTTAACTTTTGCCTTAAGTGAGTAGAGGGAGCAACATGATTTAATTGATTCTGGGCCAGGACCATGGTGTATTATTGATCTATGGGCAATTAGTAATTTTGGGTTTACTAGATGAAAATTTGAGGAATTACGAGTAGGGTAAGAGTGAATGGCTTTATTCATAGTGTAAAAGTTCTGAAATGAAAGAGGGAGCATATTGGTGACACGACATTTGCTCCTGCGACAATTGCTCCGGGCTTTATTTCGTCTAAGATGTAGGGTTAGGGTTAGGGTTTCAATAGGGTTTTATGTTAGGTTTAGGGTTAGGTTTAGGGTAGGGTATAGTGTTGAATCCAGGGTTGAAGTTAGCCGTTCGATTAGTGTATGAAATTTACAGCGGAGCAATTGTCGCCGGAGCAAATGTCATGGAATCAGCATATTATTTAAATACTTTAACATGATCAGTTAACTTTGTAGCAAATTTATATCGAATACTGTTAGGGTTTTCAGTTTGTAAAATATTGGACTTGTGTGAGACAAATATGGTGAACCAGTACATATACGAATGCAATATTTAAATAGAGTTGATTTTGGTTTTGGCGCTGGTGGCCCATACTAAATTGCAATATGTAACATACGGTAATATCAATGAATTATAAAGCATAAAAAACCTATAACATGGGATTAATTTCTTCATTTTATATAATAAACCAACGTTCCTAGAAATAGAAGTAGTGATATGACGAACATGTTCATTCCAATTTAGATTTTCATTGATAATGACACCCAAATGTTTTGTTGTTCTCTTTCTTTCGACAGGGACATTATCTATATTTATGTGGTAAGGATAGTCCATGACATGAGAATTTGCGTGCTTAAACTACATGAAATTTGTTTTATTTATATTAAGGGATAACTTATTGCCTTGAAACCATAGAGATAATTTAGGTAACTCATTATTAACTGTATTTACTAAAGTGTTTAAATCAGGATGTGAACAGCAGATGTAAATGTCATCAGCAAATAGGACAAATTATAATAAAGGTGTTGTATTGGTTAAATCATTAATATATAATAGAAAAAGCAAATGGCCTAAAATTGATCCTTAAAGATAAAGACCAGTTAGGGCCATGCGATTGCATTGTGAAAGAAACGTTGTGAAATCGATCAGAAAAGGTTGATCATCTAGCATAGATGTACTGCAAGGTTCTGGAATCATCAAAATGATAAGAGATTTGGCCCAGTCTTCATAAAGTTACAAGCACTGTACACAGAAAGATGTATATGGGACTACGCACACGTGCGCGACACGTGCGTTTTTATCTCTCACACTCCAATAGATAAATTAATTTACCAAATATATCAATTAGTAGGCAGTTTCCCGGAAAAAATTGTTATCATCATGTATTATTCAAAACATATTCTTTCACATGATTGGTAATAAGAGCTTCCATTTCATTGTTTGAAATTGGGGCGTTTCCAATACTGGTCTTTACCTTTAAGGAACTCCACATTTGGTAGGCAGGAAACTAGACCAAAAACATCATTATACATTACATATTGTTTTTTGTTAGATAAATAGCTCTTAAACCATGACAGTGCAACTCCATGAATTCCATAACAGTAAAGTAAAATGTCAAAGGCTTTCGATAAATCCAGAAATACTCCTATTAAATGTTCTTTATTGGCCATAGCATTCGTTGTTTTATCATATAATTGTACTAAAGCTTGGTCAGTTGAATGTCCTTTTTTTTAAACCATATTGATTTAGATTTAGGAAATGAAAAGTATCTAAAAACTTATAAAGCCTATTGTAAACAATCTTTTCTAGGATTTTGGATATGCTTGGAAGAATAGAAATAGGCCTGTAATTACTAATTTCGTCTTTTTTAAAAACAGGATTTACCTTAGCAATTTTCAAGGACTCGGGAAATTTCCCAGTATTAATTGATAAATTAAAAAAATGAGTTAAAGGACAAACGATAAAAAGCATGACGTGTTTCTGAAGGAAAGCACTAATTCTATCTTGACCCTGTGATTTACTTAATTTTAGCTTTTTTTGTTATTTCAGTTATTTCATTAGGATCTGTGGGATTAAAAAACAGTGATGAATTTGAAGGTTCAGGAAGAAATGTAGTAAAATTTTTGTTCGGTGTATTAAGTTTATTTGCTAAATTAGTTCCTTTGTTTACAAAATAGGAATTAAAGGTATCGGCTACATCTTCAGACTTTATAACTCTAGCATCTATTGTAAAATTATCATTGAGCAATTTTTTTGTTTTCTTTCCAATCAAATCATTAATAATCCCCCAAGTAGATTTCATATTTGATTTCACTCTATCAACTTTGTCGGAATAGTAAATTTTAGGAGAATTTCGAATGATGTTTGTTAATTTATTTCGGTATGTTTGAGTTTGTTAGATAAGCCTTATACAGTTTATTTCTTGTGTGTATCAAATGTAGAATTGCATTAGTTATCCATGGCATTTTACAAGGCTTATTTTTCTTGTTCGCAGACACTAAGGGGAAAATTGTTGTCATAATATATTTGCAATTTTGTATTAAAAATTCTTTATGCTTTATCTGCATTTGATTCATTAAAGACGTCCAATCATTCTTCCGTTGATAGATCACTCTTGAAAGATTCAATATTTTGGGGTGTTTCTTTTCTGTACATGTTTGATTTAGTTGACTTTTTCATTATAATTTCATTATTAAATATTATTATTAGGCTATTATTATTTAAAAAATTGGCAAATGATCAGATATATCTGAATATATTAATCCACTGGTAATGTTTTTATCAAAGATATTAGAAAAAATATTGTCTGTAAGGGTCGAAGATTGCCCATCAATTCTGGTTGGTTTATTTATATGTGGATAACAACTATTAGAATATTTATATGAAGAAGTGTATCATGGTAGCTACTATGAGATAAAAGGTTAATGTTTAAGTCTCCCATTAAATATAAGTATTTACCTTCCCCTGTAAGAGTGTGAAGGCATTTATCTAGATCTTCACAAAATAAATTTTTGTGACTATGAGGGGGTCTATAGATTAATCCGACGATTATGGTTTTTAATTTGGAATAATGATTTCTAAAAATAATGATTCACTTTGTTTTAACAATATTTCTTTTTGGATTTTAAATTGTAAATGTTCATCGACATAAAATGCGACACCACCTCCTCTTATTCCTATTTAGTCTGATCAATGTATAATTTTGCAAGTTAAATAAATTAGGCAACATGTTATGAAGCCAAGTTTCAGTGACACCAATAATAGAAAAGGGAAAATTATTTAGAGTATGCAGCAATGTTTGCACAGATTAAAAAAATTTGCTTAAACTTCTAGCATTTAAGTGAAGTAAACTAAAGTTATGTTGTGTTTTTTGAAAACTTGAAGTAAATTCATCAGTTGTGTGATAGTTACTATCAGAGGATACCTTGTTTGTATTGAAAATGGATAACAGATCTAAATCATTATTATTGAACATTGATTATTATTACCAATTTATTTTGATTAAAGGTATATAACTAGTTTGCATGTAAAGTTTCTATGTTGTACTAGTATGATGGTGGTAGTGATCATGGGATGAAAAGAGAATGGAATGAAGAAATAATGATAAGTGAATATGAAATGCATAAAATATGAATGTATGTTGATGAGATCCTAAAGCGTTTGCTAATTAAATGATTAACTTTCATAATGATAAGCTCACAAATTTTGAGCGTCTATTGTAGCAATAGCAAGGCTAAAACCTGTAATTTTGGAAATGGACCTCTGTGACCTTTACCCTATTTTACCCAAAGTCTGATCAGATCATTATCCTACAGTGAAACATACTTTCATCAAGTTTGAGCTTCATATCTCTAGTGGTTCTTGAGACATCACGGTATCAAGGCTAATATCTAGAATTTCACAAATTGACCTCTGTGACCTTAGGCCTTTGAGTGACCTACTAACCCCAAATCTAATCAGATCTTCTTCCTATATCGTGATATCGAGAAAGCAGGACTGAAGGACAGACATACAGATGTACAGAATGACAGACAACCCGGCACCACCTTTGGTGGGCTGAGGCATAAAAATTGGTTACCGGTACAGAAGATTCAACAATATGTTGGGCATTAATGATATTTCTTTAGCACTGCCATCACTTTTCTTACTTGATGATCTTTTCAGCGCTGATTGGTTGGTTGCCGTCCCCTAGTAAGAAAGATCCCAGAAAACTAGGTTCTCCACGGTCAAGAAGATGTGGGTGGTCAACGAGCTACAAGAAAAAATGTATTAAATGTAATAAACACAGCAACTTAGAAATATATAGGGCATGTCCGTATAAATCATAGCGTGAGTATAAAAATACAACAAAACTTTCAATGAAAGGGATGAAGGCAGCCTTCAGTAGACCTAAAATAAAAGAATTTGCAAATAATTATGAAGTTGTATTAAAGAGTATTAGCAAAAAAAGAGAGAATACCGGTAGCAAACCCGTCCCAACAAATTAGACAGAAGTCGCTGGGCTTAGAACTAAAAAAATATGTGAAAATTCTTAAAAACAGATTTTTGGGACATGCAATGTTTCATGAATGTTCTGTACAAAAAAATAGTACAATAGATAACACGAAAGGGTCGAAGAAGCAGTTTTTCTGCAAATGTTTTTTGCTGTTGACTCTTCTATTCTTGCGGACAGTTGTGGAAAGCATATTTGCTAAGCCCTGCCCCCTAGTGATGTACGGCTGAGCATTTGGCTCAGGTGAGCTAACAATGCTCATGTTTGAAGACGAAATGATAGTCAAACTTCGGAAGCATTTTGCTTGTAAAAATACTTTTCTAATACCCTTTTCCTTTAATTATCTGTATTTAAAATCTCTCTAGAGTTGAGATATTATTGAAAGCTGAATTAGAATCAATTATAAAATCAAATCTGAAAAACACAACTTCTGTCTCTTTTTGACGTGACAGGTCACATATAATGGTAAAAGTCCTTCCTCCTATAGTTTCTTAGATATTATGATAGGATATACTAAATGTGTACCGGGTACTTCTTTTAAATGAAATACTCTTTAGAGGGAAACTATAGTAAACCTGGCCATCATACTTAAATGTTTTTCATTCTACCATGTACAGTAATTTGGAAATTTTGTTTCAGAGGCTCTTTTTAAAGATTTGGCAACATATCACTCTCACTAGTCTATGAACGTACCTCTCTCAACATTGCTCTTGTCTCAATTGGTTGACATATTCCTTTCTCTGTTCCTCCTCCAGCCAAGAAGAGGATGGTCGTCATCAGCATCAACAGAGCAGAAAACAGGAATCCAAATGCGACACCACTTGAAATTTAATTTTAAGAAGAAAGAAGACAGAACATTTCAATAATAGAAAATACAATCGTGATCAGTTAGACAGTTGCACGCTCCCTAATGAGCATATCTTGCATACGTTATCTTGCTTCTCAAAACAGTTTGAAGAATAATATCTACAAACAAGAAGTAACGATATCACGCAAGAATATTGCAAGGGATGACGTAGACTCCAACTGCTCATGCATGTGCAGTTGTTGAGCAGCCATGTTTGGGTAATCCGATCTCCAGAAAATTTCCTTTCAAATGATATGAAATGTTAATATACTTCCGCAAAGTTTTTACAGCACCATGCAATGGAGCCTAATTTTGAAAAGTTTTTTTTCTCCTAGTTTTGTAACTAAATTTTGACCCCGTGGCCCTGCCCTGTTTAAAAAAAATAAAAACATATTTTTATGTCGATATGTGTTCAGCAATGTCTAAAATTGCCAAATCAGTTGTCTAATTTGAGGTTCTCCAACAGGAAATTAGTAAACTGTGCTTCCGAAATTCACATGAAAATAATGTTTTCACCGAAATTGGTACTCTACATTAGGTGAACTGGCGCGAAATGGTCTAAAACGAGCGAATGTTCCTCCTCGATAAAGCTTTGGCGTAGTGCATACACGATCGTATAGTGTTGTCCTACATATAGATTTTGGTGAGCGCATACTATTCTTCAACTGGTAATTTCTTGAAATGAACACTAAATTTTCCAAATTCATACGTATCACTGTCCATGGTCAATCTTTGTAATCAATAAAATTACATGACATGGGGTTAAAATGTTGAAATAACGCCATTATTCGTAACTAGATAACAGACCTCAAAGTCATAAGTTTGTTTACCTTTGAAGAATGGTCGTTCGGTAGGTGATCGGAAATCTTCGTATTCATATATCTTCTTAATGTGGAACTATTTTTAAAAACCGTGAACTTGACTAGTTTGATCGAATCACCAAATAACCTGATCTTCACACCATACAAATAATAATGTCTAAACTCTCCAAAAATATGAAGATTGATGGGGTTCATACTCATTTTAAAGATTGTTTATGCATTCACTTTCATCATAAACTTAATGAAAATTAGGGAGAAGGCAGACCTGCCAACCTTGGACGACCAAAAAAGGGACCCATGATGGCAAAAAAAAAAAATTTAAAGCAAATAAAAGGAATTCATTAAAACGAAACTTACAACCACGCGCGACAAACTTTCAATGGGGAAATGTTCATTCCTTATGCTGTTTTTTTTTCCATATTAGGACCTACAGTTTATTTACAAGTACCAGGCAGGTATTTTGTTGTTATTTTCGTATTATCGGCGTTTCATTCTTTTTGAGAATATTTTTCTCTTCAAGTATGTTTTAACGATAGTTTTCTATTGAATTTGTGATCAAAATAACATTTTAAGGCAGTTGTTTGGCGTGCGGTATGTAAACAAATAAAAAATTATACACAATTATCTAAAAAACGTATTTTATGAAGAAAAAAGGTAATACCATAATTTAGAGGAAAAAACAAGTAATTCCGGGAAAAACAGAATGATTGGCAGCTCTGAAAAGGTAAGCTTGTAATTGACGAGAAATATTTCATAAGATAATGGAGTCCATTCTATTTTTGATTCAGATTAATGAAAGGGCAGTTTTTCCTCTACAATTTGACATATCATTCATGCAAAATGATTAATAAGATACCATTTTGTATAGATGGAAACATGTCTGTGTTTTTAAGCTCGTATGCTCATTACGTATGCAAATTGATACTAAAAACAGAGAACAACATTATGATGTTGGAATAAAAATCCTTCTACTCAGGCTTGGTTCTAGAAGAATAATTGAGCTGGGGGTATTGAAGTATCTAGCACAACCCCCTCGACCCCCCCCCCCCCTCTAGAACCTGATCCTACTCACGCAAGAAGCAGAGTTCCCCCAAGGTTTGATAGACATCCTCTCTCTGTAGGTTGATCTCTCTTCTCTCGACCACACTCCCCAAACAGTACTCCAAGATAGTTACATAAGATAATGATGATGAAGACACACACTGATCCTATTCCACTATAAAACCTAAAAAGGACAATGACAAATAGATGATACATTCATAAACATCAGTCATTCCCAGATATAACCAGACTGGAAAACATAAAAGATATGTAAACACAAATGGTATAACTATTACTAAACACAACGCAGCCAGAAGTCATTTTAAGAATAGATGATAGATTTGCTTTAATAGGCATAAGAATACAACCTTACATAAAATAGATAAATTAATAGCTAAGGAAATTCAAAAAGAAAAACGATGATACAAAAATAAACATTTAAGATTAAAATAACACACTGGGGTTAATCTAGAGTAATACTTATGTATATTTATATAATATTGACTGGCCTTGAGAAAGATACCACATATATTGCCCAAACTAGACTCATATTGCCCCGAGTCAAAGACGAGGGCAATATTGGTCTTGTGAGGGCAATATATGTGGTATCTCCCGAAAGTTAAGCCAGTCAATATTTTTTTTTATTGTTATCCAAATCAGACATCTAGAGCAAATACATAAATCAACCATGTCAAAGAACTGAACAAAGTTAACTTTGTCAACCAGCAGTGCTTGACAAAATTTTCGATAAACTGCAAACAGTGTGCCTTTGGAGTGACTGTTATGTCACAATAGAGCGCGCGCTAAGTGCGCAGGTTTAATAGATGCACAATGAAAATGACAAAATACGGCGCGGTCAATATGAGACTATATTTTCACTCGTCTCTACATGCAAAGTCTATACGGGCAGGGAGACCAAGGAAAATACAAAGAATATACCTTTCCGTTCCCACTGCTAATGAAAACTAGGACAATACGGTTTTGTAAATGACCAGCTCAGATGCCTGAAACGGGTAATAATATTTTATATATCCTGATTTACGAAAGTAACGAGAAAAAAAAAGACAAATGAAAACAAACAGGCCGAAAAAGAAACAGAGAGATAAAAAGATAAATAGGAGAAATAGGAAAATGTGGATACCGGTAGTCACAATACTTAGAAAGAGAAAAAATGATAGACACAGAAGAGAAAATGAGATAGATAATAGAGAAAGGAAGATAGTACATGAAAGGCATGCAAAAACGGAAATTGAACTATCATACTGCCAGAGAAAATCATCTCTAAATAAATCTTCAAAATCAAATCTTGTTGTTTCTTCAACCAAATTCCAACCATATGTTGGTTGTCTACAAATTTAAAACTTAAACCATATATCAAATATTCAAAATATGTGAATGCATAATTATCTCACCTGTACTGGTCATATGTAACTGCCATGTGGAGGCTTTTATAAAGCATTTCTGAAACTGGTTGATCTGAGATATGACTGAAGATTGCTGTTATCTGATCTATAACCTGTCAATGATATTGAAATTGAAAGATATTTAGAATTTAAGTTAAATAGCACTACAAAAAGTGAAACGTAAACAAAAACAACAAAATATTTATTAAAAAAACAAAACAACTGTGGATAGAAACGTAGGCATTTGGTAATGAAGGTATATTCCACATCCATTCTGTATTATACAAATATACAATGACACTCACGGATCTAACTGAAACTATTCGCATCGGAGGAACATCAACTAGTACTATTCTCCAAAGGGCCATCGGCCCGAGGGAGAAAAGTACTAATGATGTTCCTGAGTGCAAATAGTTTTAGCTTGTTCCGAGAATGAGTCATTTTATATTTGTTTTATATCCCTTCCATCTGTATTATTCATTGTACACTTCTGTAATAACACGAACCTTATACTCACATTCACATCTTACATTCAGATCGTAAAGAAATAAAAGAAAATTGCACGGCTCAAATGAAACATTGAAGGATATAATATGTTTAGCTGGCGCTATTGCATCAGTGTAGCGCAGTTATCGCACAGCGTTAATTGCATATGGTTCGAGCGCTGTGACACCGCAGGAGTTGCCCGTGCGGACGCATTTGAAATCCTGTACGCTTGCTGGGAAAACGCATACTGGTAGTTAACTTTTTCCCTAGGGAAAAAGGGGCTATGCGTGACGTCAGCAATATAAAATGAACTATTCCGATGTAGTCGGCAGGAAACGTCTTTTATAGTAAAACTATTCTTTTTTTAGTTGTGTACACTTCTAATGCAACAATCTTACGATAAGGGATATAATATACAAATAATGAATGGTTATGAATTTAATAGTGCAAATATTTTCATGAGTTGAAAGATTAATATTCTATTAAATGATGCATCAGCCGAGTTGAATAGAATTAACGTTAATCTTTCAATGAATGAAAATATTCGCACTATTGAACGAATGTAAAACATTCATTATTTGTTTTATACAACATCGAAGAAGATCTAATAGAACGTTAATCAACATATTATGCTTTACTCCTTATATTAAAGATAAATTAAAGTTGGAGTCAAGCCTTCTCGATTATTCAGATTGCCTTCGCGTCAGATACATGCAGGGATACACGCACGGCAGCGGTACGCAGTCTGCATATAACCAAAAATAAACGGCGAATATAACCGAAAATGCACACCCGTGCAATAGAACATCTATTGAATATCAGGTGACCAACAATCCTCCAATCAAATGACAAGGATCCACGTAGGTGTTGTATAATATTCAATATTCCATGAGTACTTTTTATTCATACCAAATATTCTACCTTGAAAGATTCCTATCAGAATGTACATAAATGAATAACGGAATAGATTGAGAGTTCATCATAGAGTTTTAAAGGGATCCGGTAACTTTGTCTCAGATTCTGAAACAAAATTCTGGATTTAGCTCATGATGCAATGATAATTATAAACCTTTAGGTCAGTCAGAAACCCCATGACTTTTACAAGCCGATCACCTGTCTGATTATCAAGATATTTATGATTGGAATTACAAATTTTGAAAACCGTTCGCCTGACGGTTTTCATAACACTACAGTCTATTGGGGGAAACGAGTACGGTAAAACCGGTCACTCAAAGATTTTTACTTTTTTGAGGCACTTCTTGATCATTTTGAAGCGCAATTTTTTTAGGGCTTCAATATTACACCATATCACAGACACTGATAACAGGTAGGGCCGTGTATCTTAGATTTAACATTGTTAAACGATCGCTTTAAAATGAATCAATAAATGACTAAATAAATAGGTGAATTCAAGAATGAATTTAAAAATGAATGAATATCAAGGAAAGAAAATCAAACTGTATACCTCCATCAACACAAAATAGAAAGGCTTAACAATTAAATATACAGATGAATACATGGATTCATAACATAATGAATGAATAAAATGAAATGAAAATCACACTTCCATTCAACAAATATGGTACCATGAAATAAATACAAATATGTTGCAAAGGAGGCAAATGCAAAAGGCAAATGAATCAACAGTTGAATAATATTGTTAAACATACCCCTTGGCTCAAACTTCTAGCATTATTAACAATGTCAGAAGCACCTCCAGAATACAGATCCTCAACCATTTCCTTCATTTCTGAGAAAGAATGACAACAAAATATCAGAAAAAATGCAGTTAAACTTGTTTTCTTTTTATTCTTCTCTTCTAGTGATTTATGTCTTTTAACATTCTTATTATTCCTCTTGGTCACTCTTATAGTACATTTGCATACACTCTTCTACATGTAAAAGCTTTGGAACTATGCCCTCAGTAATGGACGAGACAATGGCAGATATGTTACACAGCAATGTTTTATTATAGCCAACACTCAATTCTGCCAAATGGCTATAGTCAAATTTCTTTGATTGATGGTACAATTGCTAATTTTCAAGTATTACAATGGTAGCTTCAGTGGGCAAATAGAGAAAGTAGGGAGAGGGGGAACAAGGATGAAGAAAAGAAGATACATTGACTGACGTCCTTTTCTTTTTTAAATGTGTGCCCGCTCCCCCAAGAATCCTAGATCTGCCATGTATTGGTTGCATGGTGTGCCCAACAAATTAAAAGTTGGGCATTTCATCAGGCGACATTAAATGAAGAAACAAATTGTGTGGAATTGTTTAGTTAAAGGTGAGCTTACCTTGCACATGTGAAGTGCCTTCTTTTTCAATTCTCTGTGGAATAGAATCTAAGATGGCTTGAGAGTTGATAGCAAAACTGGTCAGGTTGCTTTGTAATGCCTCTGATGCCTGCATCAATAGGTCTTCAATATTTGTCTGCAACAAATGTCAAAACCAGATGAAAATTATAGAAAGAATAAAGCAATCTTCATCACAATGACAATATTCTGCTTTTACATGTATAGCATATTTATTTTCAAACATCACTTTATGTATTTTGTAACATAATACTACATGTAATGTTAAGCTGGAAAGAGATAGAGTAAAATATTTTTTTATAAAAGTAAGCCTAACCATTTTCATTTCCTTCAGTAATACTAGCAGACATGATTTGAGGTTTATTCATCTGATTGTTGTGGCACTTCTGGAAGAGAAACAGGATTGTCACAAAATAGAAACCCACCTGATTGTAGTATGTAGAAATAGAAAGTCTATTCAGATCAATAAGATCTCGTGCAGCGCTGCAACCTTCACTCTGAATGCAGGCTTGTGATTGGAGGGTTTCATTAAGACGACTTCTCTCATTGGTCATTGAGTCTGTGAGTACCATGGCCATGAGCTGCAGGTCCTGAATGAGGTCATTTGTTTTGTTGAGGAGGACATGTGCATCATATGCATCTAGTTCAAATCAGATTTAAACAAATTAGAAGTTTAACAGTCTTTTCAAAAGAATTCCAGTACATGTACATGCTATTTTGTCCCATACACTACTGTCTACATCTGATATTTCAGTCAATCTGATAACTGTTTCAAGCTGATCACTGTACTACAGATTGAATCATACAAAATATCAAATACAATGATATTTTTTAATGTCAACTTACATTCACAAATCCCTAATATGAAACATATGGGACATATCTTCGATTTTACATCATTTGATTTCATTCAAAAGATCATATAATCAAAACATTTATATTGTCACTTAATATAGTGAAATTACATGTTTAATCTGAATATGAACAGTATTCTATCGAAAAGAAACTCTGAGGCCGGTGTTAACAGGCCCACTTTTGTAGATGCAGCCGTACTGCAGCCATGCAGCATAAAGTGCATTCCATTTTAGTGCTCCTACTACTATTCTCTTGACTCTGTCTCTCCCTCTCTCTAAAGTGATTAACAGACAAACCCGCTTCCTAGATCAGCCCAGACCGATCTAGTGTGCAGTGTGAACATAAACCATGCCAGGAAGCGATCTTCAACTGGAAGTGATTGTATTTTGGCGGGAAATTAATGAGAGAGAGAAAGCAATTATAGTACAAGAATAAAAAACAAAGAATGATATAAGGAAAGAAAGATAGAAAATGATAGAATGATAAAAAAAAAGAATAACATAACAGACGTTGAAAGAAGGAAGAAACAAAGAATAACATCAGGAAGACAGAAAGAGAAAGTGATAGAATGATTAAAACAAAGAATAATATAAGAGAAGGTGATCATGAAACAAAGGATAGCGATAGGAAAGGTAGGAAGAGAATAAAATAAAACTAGATGGACCTTCGACCGCGCGGTCGAAAATGCCTCCGCCATGGAGCAATTTTGCTAACCAAAACAGAGGCGAACTATTTTTGCATACGTAATGAGCCCTTTGACCTTTGACCTTGTGACCCCCAATCTAATCCGTTCATTGGCTCTGCAAGATACATACATGGCCCAAGTTTGGCGGGAATCCATCAATGGGTTCTTGAGATAACACGATCATGAGCTATTTTTGCATACATAATGAGTCCTGTGACCTTTGACCTTGGATCTCGTGACCCCAAAATCTTATCAGTTCATTGGCTCTGCAAGATACATACATGGCCCAAGTTTGGCGGGAATCCATCAATGGGTTCTTGAGATAACGCGATCACGATCTATTTTTGCATACATAATGAGCTCTGTGACCTTTGACCTTGGATCTCGCGACCCCAAAATCTATTCAGTTCATTGGCTCTGCAAGATACATACATGACCCAAGTTTGGCGGAAATCCATGAATGGGTTCTTGAGATAACGCGATCACGAGAACGGGACGTACGTACGGACAACCCAAAAACAATGCCTCTGGCTACTTTGTAGCGGAGGCATAACAAAGAATAACATAAGAGAAGGGGATAGAAGGAAGAAACAAGGAATAACATAAGGAAAGATTGACGGAAGAGAAGATGAAAGGTGGAAAAACAAAGATTAACATAAGAAAAACAGAAAGAGAAAATGATAGAAAGAAAACAAAGAATAACATGACGAAAGATAGAAAGAAAGAAATGATAGAATAATAAAAGAAGAATCACATAAGAAGTGAAAGAAGGAAAAACAAGACTAATACATTTATGAGGAAAGACAGAAAGAGAAAATGATGAATAATAGAAAATTCAAAGATAGAAAAGAAGATGAAAGATGGAAAAACAAGCAATAACATAAGAAAAACAGACAATGATAGATCGATAAAAAATAACAAAATATAGCAAAAGATTAAGTACTCTATTCGGTTTTAAATTCTGTGCATTACATTTGACCCGCTGACATTTGCTACCCCAGCAACAGGAGCAGTCTAGCTCGTTCGCGCTAAACCATAGCAACAAGAGCGGTCTAGCTCGCGAGTGTGTACCTCTGGAATGATCTAGTAGATCAGTCTAGGAAGTGAGTGGGAACGGGGTCTAACTTTTGCTTGTTGGTTTTTCTCATGCTAGATAATACTAGCCATGTTCAGAAGTAGTTTCCAAGTCGGCGTAAGTTTTTCCCTGTTGCAATAAGTATTCCATAAATACATGACTTACACCATCAGTTGCTCGTATGCTCTTACTCGGACGAAATTGCCTCGATTAAGTTAACAGGAGCTTCCACCTCCCAGTCTTAATCAGCATAACTTCCAGAAGTGGTGGCAACTGCAACCGCACTAGTCGATCTAAACTGCGCGACATTTCATTTTCATTTCTGATTGTAAAACACACATATTCTTAAACCATTCAGATTAAATCTCAACATGAATCCCGGAAGTTGCAGTTTATAATACTGTTTGACCCTGGAAGTTTAAAATATTGGTGGTGGTGGTGGTGGTGGTGGTTATTTTCATAGGTCATACTACCCTTGTGGAAGGTCACAGATACTCACAGAGTGCCAAGTGAGAGCATCCACATGGTCAACTAATGCTACCCTCTAGTCGTGTTAGCATGTTACTCCTGGAAAAACCCAGTAGTAAATCGGTGTAGCTAATGGCTATGGCTGTGGCTATATACCAACAGGCCCATACCGTTTGATTTAAATGACAAGCGATGAAAAAATTCTCCCGCTGCAAAGATTTTAATTTTGTTAAATTTTTCCTCTGTGCCCTCAACATTTCCATTCCGTCTGCACACCGAGTCCTTACAGCTTACACCGTCCTCGTACCAGCTAGTGTCACCATGTTGGCCGTTCCCTCGCCGGGTGTCGCCGGGTCCTCACCGACCGCTTACCACCAAGAACGCAACCATATCGTTCGCTGAACGATCGCTCCACCTTGAAGACGACACACACCATATATAAAAGCTTGGCACTCACCCGGCAGGACACACTTCAGTTCTTGAATTCATGGAGGTACGTCCTCCTCATCGTTTTTCTCAAAAATTCTTCATAATGCTTCATAATGCCTACATATGGAAGGAGAGTAGCTGGCACGGGGAGGGGTAAAGCTAGGAAGCTTCCTGATCCGCAGGAAACAACAGAGGAAGCAACTCAGGATCCCCCAGGAACCTCCTCCATGTCCCATCCACTCACACCCACAACTAAAAGTTTATACAGTAAAGTATGGCGTCACAGTGTCTGGCACGGTTTCTGAACAGGCGCAATGTAAAACACACTGCAACAGCACAGTGGAACTGTAAGAGGACATTATTAGGTCGTTCAGAGAGCGGTTGAACTTAAATTGACCGGTGAGGGGCCGGAATGAGGCGGTGGGTCAACATTGAGCGAACGGTGAGAGCCCAGCGAGAACCTGGTACGAGGCCGGTATGAACACGGTAACAACTCGTTCGGCAAAATACAACATGCCTCGTACCGGCCCACCATCCTTATACCCTCCTTTTACCGTCCTCATACCAGGTTCTCACCGTGTGCCACTGCTTGTACCCCTGCTTGTACCCACATGGCGAAAGTTACTAAACACGACTATTGTTCAGACTAGCTCTAAACACAACCTTTACGCCGACCGAAGTTGCCATCGTGTGAACATGGCTACTGTCTATCCTTGGCTATTATGCACTTGCTCAATGCTTTTCCACAGTAAAGGGGGAAAATATACTACACCACAATTGTGTTTCAATGAACAGACATCAGAGTCTTTCACAACAGTTTTTCAAGGTCATGGCATTAATGGAAAGAATTCCAAAAGAATTCCAAAAGATATTTATATTGATCCCTTATTTGCTGCCTTTATTGTGAGGAATACTAGTGCCCTTATAATTTGTAGGCTTCAATTTTACCAGCATCCAAGCCCAGTTGACCAAACATCTATTCCTAGGAATGTCAACAACAAAATAATTGTCTTGAGATATCTAAATCTTGTGATTTCAATCTCTTGAATATCTGAGGTTCACTATAAATTTTTGTTATAGTCTGATATACAATCAGTCACACAAAGACTTGACCTAGAATACATTATTATTTTCCTCACCATTCATCTTTCTAGCTTGATGAGATTCTCCCCCCCCCCTCTTTTTTTGTTACTGAACAACATGCATACTTGCCTTTTGTGCAATACAGCTAGCCAAGCAACAATGAAAGTGGGCTTACTGCCAGCTTGAACAAAAGCAGAAACCTTGCATCAGAAACAAGGGCAAATACACAGCAGGAAACTGATTATAATCACAATCAGTACCTGAAATCTAAGTTTCAGTTTTTATGAGACACTGAAATCATATCGGATGTACGTACGTACGTCTTCTATATTCCATCAAGACTGGAAATTACTAAAATATGCATTTTTTAAAAATTATAGTAACTAATTGTTACTGCTAAGGATATTGCATCAATCACAGTTATTATATATGGCAGTTTCTATGCATGCACTAGTAACATAAAATTACAATTAAAGATTTCAAATGTTACATTGCACTCATCCTCTTTAAGAATGTGAAGAAAAAAATCCAGTATAAAAAAAAACACCTGAAAAGAATAGATGCCAATTCATGTATGTTAACTGATATTATATCAATTAAAGAGACAGCTGGAAAATGATTTTTATGCCATGTAATTGTGCATGATCAATAAATTTGAACTTGAACATTTACCTGTATTTCCAAAGTGACAACACTTTCACATACAAAGTGATGTTTAGAGTGAATAAACAAAGTTTTAAAAAAAAAATTAAAGAACAGAGAAAAAAAAGGCATTCTCCTTTTTTACAACATCATTATCTGAAGGTTGTATTAATTCAAAAATTAAATCAATCTTTTAAAATTCCTATGTAATGCCAAGTCTAGAAATGATTTTGATATCTCATACAGAAAATCGATGTGCACAGTAATCTTAAAACTGGGTGAATAAGAACACCCGGAAAAATAAGAACAAAATGTGAAAAACATGTCTGATTTTGTTTCTTTCAAGGTACATAAAGCATGCAATAAATAATATAAAAGCAGTGTGAAACAGGTAGGCATACAATGTTACTTTAATAAAAAAAAATTCACACCACACTACCCAACAGCAATTTTTCCCTGCAAAGATTATATGTATAACGGATTAAAAAAGATGCACCAATTTTACATTTTGTTTTCTTCTAAAACTATAATATTAAAATCACAAGACACTTCAAAGATGGTACTTTGTAATAAAAATTTATGCTTCCAGATATTTCTGTGAGCACTACATCTTTAAAGGCATCGTTTAACAATGTTAAAAATAATTGTGCTTCAAAATGATCATGAAGTGCCTCATAAAGGTAAAATTCTTTGAGTAACCGGTTTCACCATTCTCATTTTCCCAAATAGACTGTAGTGTTATAAAACCGTTGGAAAAACGTTTTTTTCAAAATCTCAATTTCCAATCATAAATATCTTGATAATCAGACAGGCGATCGGCTGGTAAAAGTCATGGGATTCCTGACTGACTTAAGGTTTATAATTATAATTGCAGCATGAGCTAAATCCAGGATTTTGTTCAGAATCTGAATCTGAAGCAAAGATACCCAATCCCTTTAAATACATGTAAGGCCGGTATCATTTCAAGCTCTGCTTACGATATCGGTCTTCTGCATTCTCCCCTTTTCTTTCTTTTCAAATACGATTAATTGTACTATTGATTATTTATATTTATTTATTTGTGAATTACTACTTGTATTACTTATCATTATATTGCTAAAATGTATTCATTGTTATTTTTGTTATTGTTTATGGAAAATGCAGAAATAAAACTTGAAACTGAACTGAAACATATCCCCAGTTTGTTCATATTTAATCTAATGTTAGGCTAAATAGGTATTGTTGCTATAAATTAAGCCTGGTAGGATGTGAAAGTTAATGTAGTTTGCTCAGCATTGTGAGCATCTGTAAAGTAAGGCCAGGCTGGAATGCTCCCCAGGGATCGATTGGAGAATGTGCATACATTATGTGCAGGCAAACCTGAATCCGATGACCGGGGTAATAATATATCTGTATATAAAAGCGCTTAGAGATATCGTTGATGTATTAAGCACTACCGTATATAAAAGCGGGTTATTATTATTATTATTATAAAAAGGAAAAGGCAATGTGAATATGAGATAAAAGTTAATGGCATCAAAACCTTTGCCACTGCCGATGTGATTATGACAGTGAAGGGAAAATATGTCAAAATTTTCCTATTCAATCTGTTTTACAGTACTACAGGTTTTAGGATGTCTGTCTCAAATGGTATCACATATATCACTTGATATGACTGAACTTAGCCATTCAACGCGTTAATCTATCTTTCATCCAGAAAGTGAACAGTGACAGCTCAGGTTGCCTTGACCTTTGCCCATTGACCCTTTGGCCCACAAACCTACATACATCTCCATTCTTGGTTTTCCCAATGGATTACTTCTTACAATGAAAGTACATACAGTATTCTCAGTTCTTGTATCACTGATAATAAAAGAGAGCTGAGCTACAACCTGCAGGCCCAAGAATTATTATTAACAGGAGACCATACGTGACCAAAAAGTAAACATTTAACAAAAATTCCCTTTGTGAAACATGACAGCAATCAACATCAAAGTGTCACCAAATAGAAAAATTTATTGTGTTATTTGTTGTTATAATTTAATGTTTATTGAGCATTGTGCATAACACTGCCGCCCCCAACTTTATTAAAACAGAATAATTCAACATGTGGGCCCTGGCGAGTTAAAAATAAATTTTCTCTCAGCCAATCCAACCATATGTTTGGAGTCAGAAAGGCCTTACTCATAAACTTCAGAATTACTCTTCACCAGATTTTTAAAAACATTTTACTTACCTGAATTTGCAATTCAATGAATAATGAAAAGAAACTTTAAAATGGAGAAAAGATTAACAAAATGCATAACTCATTACCTCTATGAAGCTCTTTGACAGCATAAATGGCAGGTTCAACTTTGAACCCAATCTCATCTCTCACTGGTTGACCCACTGCACTGCTGATGTCTAAAATGGGAGAAGACATGAAAGGTACGGACATAAAGTATATTTACTAAATCAAGAAATTTTCTGAAATAGAGAAAAACCTTAGGTTTATAACATTAGTTTGAAGGCCCCCAAAATAAGAATGGTTGACAGTATGAAAAATGAAGCAGGCAATATATAACTTTCGTCAGAGGCCTTCTCAAAAGGTCAATTATGATAGGAGCCCTTGAAAGCGACTATGATTCATTGTGAATCTCTCTTTCCCGAAATCCATCTTGCTGTTTGGCCATATTTTCACACCTCTCTTCATTCACATGTCCTCAGCAGGAAACACGCTCATTGCTCAATTGATAAGGGATCTTCTTATCATTTATGACGGATATAATTCAAGTAGATCCAGTCTACAATCACACTTCTCAATGCAAGGTGATAATCATAACATTTAACGCACACATCGTTTTAAACTCTGTGTTTCTTATACCTATGTATAACACTATTCTAAAGTGTTTAGAAAGTATTGCAATCAATACCACTTTTACGAGTTAAACAATGTTTTTGTTGATTGTATTCTTCTTTTTTATGCCTAGTTTGTAAATTTAAACAAGAAAGTGGCATTAAAGTTGAAGTAACTATCTGCAAAAATCACTTGGACAAATGATACACTGTGTCTATTCTTTTAATGGATCTGCAATATTGCAGACATACTTTTACTAAATCACCACATATTTCCCTTATACCTTAATTCAGACAAATAACCTTTATAAAAACTACCCCAAAATGATTTTCCCTACTAGGTGTAATAGTACTACTCCTGGAGAAGTAACTATACTATAGTATCATGCTGTACTTACTATCTAATTTCTCCATAGCAAGATTTTTCACTTTGTCCACTTGATCCAAAAGAAAATCAATTTCCTAAATGTGCAAATGAAGAAGAAAAAAAAATCAATAGGATGCAAACATTCATTCCATTTTATTTCATTAATACCAGTAACTGTGTTAACTTGTTATGGGCGTTCCCAACTCAAGCTATGCTTTTCGGGTTTTTTGCCTCCTTCCGTATCTGAATTATTTACTGTTATATACTCTATGTTGAAATCTTTGTTACATATAAATGTTTTCCTCTTTAGGGAGTGAAAACAGAATCTTTTCCCCAATATTATAGCTGAATAGGCCATTTTTACAAATCACAAATAATTGTATAGTCAGAATGCGAATTGCATAAATGCAGTGTAGTTAGGTAGGACAAGCCATAATGTTTGTCCTACCTAGCAACAATTAATGCATTCAATTCACATTCTGACTAATGAAATACAATTATTTGTACAGGTAATGAAATAATTTGTAGCATGGCATTTAACAAAGATTTATGGTCTATTCTAAAGAAAGGCTTCATCTGATGGCTCCTGCACAACCTTGCAGTTTTGTGTAGCGCTAACATGAACAAAAGAGCAGGCTAAACAAGCTTGTAGATAATGTCAGTCCCTCAAGGTTGCTTGGGGAAACATGGCCAAATTTCCTCTTTCCTCTTGCCTGCAATGGGCAAGGCACAGCACTTGGTTTTATTAGAAACAACCATCTGACTCATAACCACAACGATACAGCTTTAAAAGAGAAATCAGGGGCAGGTTTGAGTTCTATCCCACAAGCACATCATTGTAAAGCTGCTCCATTGCTCTGTGATTTGTCTTTCCTCACCCTTTCCAATGCAGTCACTAAACTGAACTAAAAAATGTTGCCATGATTTAACAAATGCTTAATATTAAATCACAAAAAGTACCACTTAGAAATATAATAATAATAATAATAAAAATGTACTATAACATGTTATTGTTTAAAAAAGTCAAAATCGCATTAAAGGCATCGTTTAACAATGTTAAATCTGGGATGCATGGCCCTCTGGTCATCAGTGTCTGTAATATGGTGTAATTATATTGAAGCCCTAAAAAAAAGGCGCTTCGAAATGATCAAGAAGTGCCTCAAAAAAAGTAAAAATCTTTGAGAGACCTGTTTTACCATACTTGTTTCCCCCAATAGACTGTAGTGTTATGAAAATCTTTAGGAAAACAAATAATCAGGTGGGCTGTATCTAATACAGACCACCTTATATTTTTGTTAAAATTGCCTTTATTTATTTATTTATTTCTTTATTTCTTTATTTTTCTTATTTCCACCCACTTTTTTGTTAGCAAGATAACTTTGTAATGGTTCTATCAAATGCTTTGATATTTGGCACACATATGTATAGGCATATGGACAAAACACGGTAAAGTTTTCAACCTTGACCTTGACTGATGACGTCATCTAGGCGCCATTTTGTGAAATTTTCGGAAAATCAATTCATGATCATATCTTCATAACCAAAAGGTATTTCTCATTCATATTTATCATGATCAAGGTCAATATCAGTCCGGTTAATTTCAGGTCAAAATACGCGCGCGTGCGCGTACGTCCGCGCGTCAATGCGCGCGCAAATTTTTTAAATGTTCAAAATCATCTCAAATTTATTTTGCATACGTTTTAGGTCATTTTAAGCATTTTATAAAAAATCGCGCGTACGAGCATGCGCGCGCGTTTTCGCGCGTAACACCATTAAAAAACATAGAATCGCCATTTTTTTTTCTTTTATGATATTTCTCATATTTTTTCGAGGAATTTGATACCATGTTTATCTCTTTATGACCATTAATAACAACATGAGCGTCAATTCAAGATAAATGTCCGTGCGCGCGAGCTCTTTTAATACATAGCATATATGGGCAAAAACATGCCTATACAAAATCCATTATAGCTCTTTGAAATGAACCGTGACCTTCATTTTTTTCTCATATTTAGATAAAGTATGAGTCGGAGATATGATTACATGTCTCATTTTGCCATTAAGTGTATCGTGACATCATCATAATGGCCTTGGAACTGAAAATACGAATTTGCATATTATGAAGTCAGCATATTTATGTAAAATTGATTGTATCTCAGTATATATTGATCGATTTTCTTCAAAATTTCGATATGTTGTAGCTAAGATAATTTTCTACAAGTTCAATAATAATCATTTTTCATTTTGATGACGTCATCAGAGTGAAAATTTCGATTAAAGGCCTCATGTCAGAAATTTCACAATTTGCGTGTTATGACTATAGAAGGTGCATTTCGTTCACATCATTAATCTACATGACATTGTTTTTAGCAGTATCTCGCTTATTTTTGCTCTATTTTGTATCAAATTTTAGTTGACCAGCCCACCTATACTTGTTCCAAACAAGTATTATATGTCTAGTTTATTAAATATTTTTCTTATTTCTAACCACTTTTTTGTTAGCAAGATAACGAGAAAATGGCTCGATAAAATGCCTTGAAATTTGGCACACATATGTATAGGCATATGTACAAAGCACACTAACGTTTTCAACATTGACCTTCAATGATGACGTCATCTAGGCGCCATTTTGTAAAATTTTACAAAAATCAACTCATGATCATATCTTAATAACCAAATGCTATTTCTCATTCATATTTATCATGATCAAGGTCAATATCCGTCCGGTCAACTTCAGGTCAAAAAACGCGCGCGTGCGCGTACGTCCGCGCGTTAATGCGCGCGCAAATTTTTTGAATGCTCAAAATCATCTCAAAATCATTTTACATACGTTTTAGGCCATTCTAAGCATTTTTAAAAAATCGCCCACACACACGCGCATGTGCGCGGCGCGCGCGTTTTCGCGCGTAATACTATTACACAACATAGAATCGCCATTCTTTTTCTTTCATAATATTTCACATATTTTTACAAACAAATTGATACCATGCTTGTCTCTTTATGACTATTAATAATGGAATGATCGACCGTTTAACATAAATTTCCGTGCGCGCGAGCTCTTGTAATACATAGCATATATGGGCAAAAACATGCCTATACAAGATCCATTGTAGCCCTTTAGGATGCAAGGTGACCCCAATTTTGGGGTCATATTTTGATACAGTATGAATTGGAGATATGATTTCATGTCTCATTTGACCCTCAATTAACTCATGACGTCATCATAATGGCCTCCAAACTCAAAATTTCAATTTGCATATTATGACGTCAGCATATTTACGGAAAATTGATTGTTTCTCTGTAAATATTGATCGATTGTCTTCAACATTCTCTACAAATAAAATTGGTCAAATTTTCATTTTGACAAAGGCATCAGGGAGTATTTTCGCGATTAAAAAAGGCATGTCAATTTTTCACATTTTGCGTGTATTCTCTGTGGGACATGAGTTTTTCTCAAAACTGGATTCTTTCGCGAGCAATATCTCTGTCGTTTAGCTTCGTTTACGCTGAACTTCAAGTATGTTGTAGCTGAGACAATAAGCTATCTCAAATGTACCCTTTATTTTGTCTCAAATTTTAGTTCGACCAGCCCACCTATACTTGTTCCAAACAAGTATTACAAATCTAGTATATTTTTCTTATTTCTAACCACTTTTTTGTTGGCAAGATAACTTGGAAATGGCTCAATCAAATAATTTGAAATTTGGCACACATATGTATAGGCATATGTACAAAGCACAATAACGTTTTCAACATTGACCTTCACTGATGACGTCATCTAGGCGCCATTTTGTAAAATTTTACGAAAATCAACTCCTGATCATATCTTCATAACCAAAAGGTATTTCTGATTCATATTTATCATGATCAGGGTCAATATCCGTCCGGTCAATTTCAGGTCAAATAACGCGCGCGTGCGCGTACGTCCGCGCGTCAATGCGCGCGCAAAATTTTGAAATGCTCAAAATCGTCTCAAAATCATTTTGCATACGTTTTAGGCCATTCTAAGCATTTTTTTAAAAATCGCGCACACGCGCATGCGCGCGCGTTTTCGCGCGTAAAACTATTAGACACCATAGAATCGCCATTTTTTTCTTTCATAATATTCCACATATTCTTACAAACAAATTGATACCATGTTTGTCTCTTTATGACTATAAATAATTGAATAATCGACCGTTTAACATAAATTTCAATGCGTGCGAGCTCTTGTAATACATAGCATATATGGGCAAAAACATGCCTATGCAAAATCCATTATAGCTCTTTAGGATGCAAGGTGACCCCAATTTTTTTTTCATATTTTGAGCGAGTATGAATCAGAGATATGATTTCATGTCTCATTTGACCCTCAATTAACTCATGACGTCATCATAATGGCCTCCGAACTCAAAATTTCAATTTGCCTATTATTATTATTAAATATTTTTCTTATTTCTAACCACTTTTTTGTTGGCAAGATAACTTGAAAATGGCTCGATCAAATGCCTTGAAATTTGGCACACATATGTATACACATATGTACAAAACACAGAAAAATTTTCAACCTTGACCTTGACTGATGACGTCATCTAGGCGCCATTTTGTAAAATTTTACGAAAATCAACTCATGATCATATCTTCATAACCAAAAGCTATTTCTCATTCATATTTATCATGATCAAGGTCAATATCCGTCCGGTCAATTTCAGGTCAAATAACGCGCGCGTGCGCGTACGTCCGCGCGTTAATGCGCGCGCAAAATTTTGAAATGCTCAAAATCGACTCAAAATCATTTTGCATACGTTTTAGGCCATTCTAAGCATTTTATAAAAAATCGCGCACGCGCGCATGCGCGCGCGTTTTCGCGCGTAAAAGTATTACACAACATAGATTCGCCATTTTTTTTCTTTTATAATATTCCACATATATATACAAACAAATTGATACCATGTTTGTCTCTTTATGACTATTAATAACGGAATGATCGACCGTTTAACATAAATCTCCGTGCGCGCAAACTCTTGTAATACATAGCATATATGGGCAAAAACATACCTATACAAAATCCATTGTAGCTCTTTAGGATGCAAGGTGACCCCAATTTTTTTTTATATTTTGATAGAGTATGATTCGGAGATATTGTTTCATGTCACATTTGACCTTCAATTAACTCATGACTTCATCAAAATGGCCTCCGAACTCAAAATTCCAATTTGCATATTATGACGTCAGCATATTTATGGAAAATTGATTGTATCTCTGTAAATAGTGATTGATTTTCTTCCAAATTTTGAAATATTCTAGCTGAGACAATTTTCTACAAATGAAGTCATCACAATTGTTAATTTTGACAAAAGCATCATGGCGTATTTTTGTGATTAAAGGAGGCATGTCAATTTTCACATTTTGCGTGTATTCTCTATGGGACATGATTTTTTTCTCAAAACTCGATTCTACATTCCCGTCTTTCGCGAGCAATATCTACGTTGTTTTTGCTTCATTTACGCTGAACTTCGAGTATGTTGTAGCTGAGACAAAAAGCTATCTCAAATGTACCCTTTATTTTGTCTCAATTTTTCGTTGGATCAGCCCACCTATACTTGTTCCAAACAAGTATTACAAATCTAGTTTTATTTTGATTTCCAACCATTTATATCTTGATAATCAGACATCGATCGACTTGTAACAGTCATGGGGTTCCTGACTGACCTAAAGGTTTATAATTATCATTGCAGCATGAGCTAAATCCAGGATTTTGTTTCAGAATCCGAGACAAAGTTACCCAATCCTTTTAAAGATACTATGTCCCTTTTGCAGCGAACATCAAATTCTGTTTAACTTTGCGGGAATTATGAATATGTTATGTTTGTCCTATTTGTGATATCTGAACGTTAGCAGTGTCCTAATATTCAAATTATGCAAGGAAACCCGTTTTCTTGCTAGACTTCACTGTCAGACACTATTGAGTGACTGACTGGCTTTTTTTCTTCTTTGGTAATAACATACATAAAATGAGCTGTAAAGGGTACATTTGTCTACATCCATAACCCACTTCTTGTAATGGCGCAGCATAAAACGTACGACCATTCGGTACAATGGTCTGAAAATCAAACTATTACTTACTGGCTCTATAGCTCTTAAGTCGATTCGACAACTAAAAGTAGTTATTTTCCCACTTAAAGATAAAGACCAGTTATGGTCATGCGATTGCATTGTGAAAGAAACATTGTGAAATCGATCAGAAAAGGTTTGATCATCTAGCATAGATGTACTGCAAGGTTCTTGAATCATCAAAATGATAAGAAATTTAGCCCAGTCTTGATAAAGTTACAAGCACTGTACACAGAAAGATGTATATGGGACTATGCACATGTGCGCGACACATGCATTTTTATCTCTCACACACCAATAGATAAACTAATTTACCAAATATATCAATTACTAGGCGGTTTCCCGGCAAAATTGTTATCATCATGTATTATTCGAAACATATTCTTTCACATGATTGGTAATAAGAGCTTCCATTTCATTTTTTGAAATTGGAGCGTTTCCAATACTGGTCTTTACCTTTAAAGACATTTTCAAGCCCCCATTTTTTAGGGAAGTTCTAAATTAGTATTATCTTTCAAATGCAGTTGGAATTTTACCTTTTCATTTGTTGGGCCTACAAATGGGACATAGTACCTTTAAGGTCTTTAAATGCTCAGGTAATTACTAAAAATATGGATGATTCATGAAATATTGAGTTACAATGATTTTCAAATAAAATCCTCATTATTTTCAGCACCTTTCATTCAAACTTGAAAAAGTGATTCTTTTGCATTTGTATGCATTTCTAAAATTTGATCATGCTGAACTGAACACACATCTAAAAAAATGTCTTTAATGCAGGTATAGTTATAACACTTGCATATTCAAAATGCGAGTGTCAACAAGATTGACATATTGATAGTTCTACATGAGGCTATCAATTATCTAATTAACACTTGGGCCCCCAGATACAAGAGCATAAACAACATCTAGAAAAAAAATATAGATTTAATTACACCTCAGTGACAGAGGGCATATTAGAAAATATCTTTGCTCCAGATCATGTTTATGAATTTAGACAAAAATGTAGAACAATTCAGACAAAAATCTAGAAATGATTATTCAATGATAAAATGAATAATACATTTTAAGAATTGAATGAATATTACTTAACGTTTAGAATTTGAAATCCTAGTTTTAGCACAGTTCTTTTACAAAAATTACCTCCCATTAATTATAACAGAAAATACTTCAACTGTTTCAGTATTATCATGAAATAAGTTGTAAGGAATCCAAGTGATGGAAATATATAAAATTAAGAAAAACTATAATCAACATAGCATATGAGATGCAGACAGAGGGATTATATCTTTTGAATATCTGAATGTGTCCTGTTCCTGCATGGTCCTGCTCCATGGATTTGTTGACAAAAAGAATAATAATAATAAAATGTTGTTGTTAAGTCCCATCACTGTCAAATACATGGCAGGACTCGATTTTAGAGCGGTTTAAATATAGTCTTGTTTAATAATCAAACGTGCATTATCTGAAAAATTAGCAAGAACTATTTTCCTGTCTAAAATCATCATGATGCATTATTGGACAACAAATAATAAATAAATAAATAAAAATATCTGTTAAGGTAAACAAACACATGAAAATAAATCTTTTGTTGTATTGTCTTGAATAATACTTAAAGATTTTTTTTTTGCCATTTTATTTTATTTTATTTTATTATTATTTTTTTTTTTTTTTTTGGGGGGGGGGGGGGGGGGAGGCATGTGCCCTGAGCAACATACGTTTTCATATAGTGTCATAGTTGTAAATAATGACTGCAACAAAGAATATGCATTGGAGTGTGTCCAACTATAGCTGAGTTGGCCAATCTACATGTATAATTATGTTTGTCCAAGCTTATGGAAATGACTCCACTTTCCACCACTTGAATTCCTTGAAAGTTTTACATGTTGTTAATGCCTAGGTCACCTTTGCCGCCGCGGCTGTGTGGTCTACAATATCTACGGCCAATAGCAATTATAGGGCCACCGCAGCATTCCCATGGTCACATACGGTAGCGGTCACATATTGTAGCCGCCCGGCGTATTTTTAATTTGTGGAGACAGAAAATCTGCGGCTGCCGTACGGCCTTTGAAGTGAAGACGCACGGTCGCCTTAGGGTGTTCCTGTGGCAGCCGTAGGTTTTTGACAAATACAAAGGCAGACGCAGGGTAGCCGCAAGGTGCCTGCAAGGCGGCCGAAGGGGGACCCTTACGGCGACGGTGCGGCCAGACTGATGTTACCGCTTCACCCCTGGAGTATATAAAATGCAAGGCCACTGTACGCCCGACTGCGAACCTAGAAATGAAAACAGTTATAACTCCGCGTTATAATCCCATGGTGACCCGTACGGCCTGTAAAGATAGGGATACGCCCTAGGGTGACCCTGATGCCAGCGCGGATTCTCTGCAGCTGCCGCAAGTATCTCTCTATTTCGGGGGCGTACGGCCGCCGTATCCTAGCCGTAGAGCAAATGTGACCTAGGCATTAGTGCTTTGAAAAAAATCATACTAATACAGTAGAAAATTGTTATGTTGCAATAAGTGGGAGGTTCAAACCTATTTTTTTCACAAAATGACTTTACTATTAGTTACGTATTTCATTAAAAATGATGCCTGGCTTGACATTGCATGTAACTAATTTTTTTATCTAAGTGTTCAAATTAAAAATCAATATGTCTTGTATCTATTTATTTTGAATTCATGTAGCATATTAGACCCCGTTCTCACTCATTCCTAGATCGATCTAAACTAGACCGATCCAGTGAAATCGCTCTAGAGGTTTGCTTCGTTTTATGTTCACACTCTTGTTGCTATGGTAGCAAAGGTCAGCGGGTCAAATGTTCCGCGCGGAATTCAAAACCAAATGGAGTCCCTCAACTTCTGCTATATTTTTTTTTTTTAATTCTTTAATATGTTATTCTTTGTTTTTCTATCTTTCATCTTCTCTTCTATCTTTCCATTTTCTATTCTTTATCATTTTCTCTTTCTGTCTTTCCTTATGCTATCCTTTGTTTCTTCCTTCTATCACATTCTCTTTCTGTCTTTCCTTATGTTATTCTTTGTTTCTTCTTTCCATCACCTTCTCTCATTGTTATAAACACACTCACTTCTGGTTGAAGATCGTTTCCTGGCACTGTTTGTGTACACACTGCAAGCTAGATCGGTCTGGGGGGATCTAGGAAGTGAAGCAGTCTAGAAGATCGCTTCCTGGACTGCTTGTCTGTTCACACTCGCAGTTAGACCGATCTAGCCTGCATTTGTCTAGGAATGAGTGAGAACAGGGTCTTATTGATAATCATCCTTATGACAGTTGCAAGTGAAGAGATATATGAAATAAAAGCCAAATAGAAAAGAATCCTTGCAACCCCTACTTCTAGTGATTAATATTAGAACATTCTTTTTAAAATGTAAGGTTAGAATCATTATAACTTACATCGACAGTCTGATTGACATACATCAAGAGATCATCCATGTTTGTTTGTATATTGGGTTCTACTTTGCGAAGTCCTGTAGAGATGTTCTGGTTAGCAATGAATGATATCCCAATACCTATCCTGAAGAAGAAAATAATAATCACAAAATTCTTAAAATACAAATAGAGACAGACGATCATGGAATGTGGGCTATGTATTCTAGTAAAAAGGAGAGATTTCTCAGACTGTGTACATTTTAAATCAACAATATTTACTTTACATTGAAACATCCTAAAGAAGAAATTAACTGCAAAACATTGACAATTATATGCTCTTTATGCTAAAGCAAGGTATTCAATACTGGTACACTTTCTTTTATTTTTGTATTAAACTAACACTTTTCCATGATAATGACAATCATGTGCTAATGGACAGATATTACATCAAGGCATTACAACAACATACCTTACTTAATGACATACAATGTACACATATGCACATATGTGGGGTTTAAACAAATCAATCACTTTTGTCCATTATCATATCAATATATGCAATATATCAAATCATTATATAGCCAAACAGAATGAAAAATAACACCCATTAATTACTTTATTTTCATAACCTTGATTTCTGTTTGCTTCATAACTGCATGCTTTTTAATTAATGAATTAACAATTGAGTTTTTCCAATCATCATAACATTAAAAAAAGAACTTTGGCAAAAAATACTTAAATGATATATGTCATGTAGGTACACATAACATTCACTAGACTGTAAGGGACATAAATATAAACAAAACTTGAAAACATTCAATTTCTAAATGCAACAACCAAATTTGGAGTAAAGAAAACAATCACAAAAAAGAAATGCAAGAGGAAAAGATTAAATTAATTATCACATAGTTTAAAACAATCCAACTGATGTGATCTAAAAAAAATGGAAACTGAAATCTCTAAATCTTTATACTATACATTTATACAATCATTTAGTAATAATACCACACACTGTTAAGACCTCATGAGCAGGGAAAAATTGTTGGAGATGCAATACTTTCAAATGGAAAACAGACTTTGCAGTAAATCATTTTCCGAAGGAAATGTCTTCTTCCTACTTGTAAGCAATGCATCTAAAATTAGCCACACAATTTCTTAAACGATTCCTCAATACTTGCCAAGATTGTTTCTGTGATACACGACACAAAGAAACCATTGTAAAAAAATATAGAAAGCGAAGGCCGTGATCGGCTGTATAACCACAGAGACTTTATATGACATTGAAAAGCTTCCCATAGACACTGGTACAGAAAAATGTATTGAGTCTTTGACCTTTATAATCAATATCACCAGTCTGTGCATACAGGTTTTCCTGATACACCAAGCAATTTTTCTTTGGAGATAATACTCCTTAAAAAGCCAAATTCTAAACAACTGTTGCCAAGATACATATAAGCAAATGCGTAGAAAAAAATGATTTATGCATTATGTCCAATGAACCAATACTGATATAAAATATTCAAGTGAATCACTAAAACTTTCATTTGAAATTTTACATTAAAGAAAAGAAAAATGAAAATTAGAGCCCATTACTATTAAATGAATAATTCATACCGCGAAAAAGAAATTGCCATTTGTTATCAAATTCAAATACAGTGAGTATACAGATATATGTAATTTTCAGATTTCATATCACGTGAACAAAATGACCACAAGATCTAATGTTGATTTCCTTTTGCAAGAAAGAAGCATGTCACAAACATTTTATCTATTCACCGAAAGCTGTGATGCAATTGGGAGCAAGTTGCGTCATAACTCTTACTATGTCACATAATACCATGCAAATAAGAAGATAATACTCTTGTTTGTGATGTTATTGTGACCAAGTTGCCATTTAGCAATAAAAACTAGAAGGATTTGCTTACGTCATAATGATGGAGACAATGAGAAGTCCGCAGGCAAAGCCCGCCCTCTTCCAAGGCACGTTATCTTCCTCTCGTTGGAGCATGTGAGCCCCACACCTATCACAACATCTACAGCAGCAGAAGATGATTCCAGTAATTGGCATGAAGATGATGAAGATTACAGCTATGGCAAACATAGCCATGAATGCTACTGTGTGATCCACATACTGCAATAGAAAAGAACTTCTTTTTCGTAAATAGGGTATAAACATTTTGTATGTGTACGTTCAATAAATGTTTTTTTCTAAAAGAATTCTTGAACTATTATTATTTATTTGACCAATCGGAAAACATACAGTGAGTAAACCAATCAGATAATACATAGAGATTTCATAATACATGCAAACAGTTTTAGGAAAGTGGAGAGGAGAGAGGGAAGGATACAATCTGCTGGTCAGGGGTCACCGGAGACAAAAGCAAGTGAAATTGCTATTACCGGTACTCGAAAACATGTCACCCCCATGAGTATGCCATGGAAACACAGGAAGCTATTGTTATAACCAATTTAAACGTTGCTATCATGGCCTACTGAGGCTTCACTTTTAAGAACATGTGGTTCCCCTCTCCCCCCCCCCCCCCCCCCCCCCCCTCAAAAAAAGCACAGTATCCATGTTTCATTTGGGCTCATAGCATAAGTTATTTCCTCAAACAACTACATAGTATCTCCACAGTATTATTCATAAAGTCATGGTATAACAAAGGTATAATTAAATTATCGGATCTTCTTGACGAAAATGGTAATATTTTCACCTTCTTTCAATTTAGAAACAAATATAAGTTTAAATACAATTTTGTAGAATTTTATTCTGTGAAAACGGCTATTCCCCATAATTGGAAAAATAATATCCCTAAATGTTCAGAGGCAGACCTAACAGCTCAAGAGCAAATGATTAAAATATAATGAAGGTAACAAAATATGTCGCTATATTCATAATTTAAGTGTTCAACAGGTTTTTAGTCCCCCAAATCAATAGATTAATGGAATTCTCTGTTTAATATCCCAAACATAGACTAGGGTAAAATTTTCTTAGTTCCTGTTAGGTCATGTTTATCTACACAGATCCGTTATTTTCAGTTTAAGATAATACATCGCATAGTTGGTGTTAATAAATATCTTAAATTATTAAATATTTCGCAGTCAGACTTATGTTCAATGTGTTATAGTCCTGTGGAATCTATAGTACATTTATTTTGGGATTGCTCAATCATTAAAAGGTTTATTGCGGATGTCCAACATTTTTTAGAGGATAAAGTTACTTTGAATAAAATTAATTTCTTATTTGGGTTTTATGGAAATGTTGGAGTCCAATTTAATTTAATTATTTTATATGCCAAATACTATATATTTTCCAACAAATGCAAAAATAGCGTACTCTCGCTAAATTCTTTTAAATGCATGTTTCTCTTGACCAATACATTTATGTTAAAAATAACAAATTTGTATAATTTGATAATAGGTGGAAAAATATTGTGTTGCTTTAAAAAAACATTTATCTTGTATAATCAGCTATATTCTTGCTGTTGATTCTATTGGTTATATTATGTATGGATATTCATATATGTTTTGTTATGTTATATTTTGTAAAGTTGAAAGTTATATTGAAGATTATTTTATTAAAGAGAATTTTTTTTTAAAAATCTCCACAATCTTTTAATACAAAGATCCATCAAGTGTTTACGTTTTTTCTGCAAAGTGCTCCTCATATAAAAGACCACAGGTGTTAATGAGGCTACAGAATAAATTCCATCTGATGAAGAGTTATTATTCTGATTTAAAAAAAATTATATTCATGTAAAGCAGTCTTACCAACATTGGATCTGAGAAGTCCACAGTTCCATTGATAATTCCTCTGTAAAGATCTGTGAAAATACATCAAATTCATAAAGAGGTAAAATATCACACAGAAATAGTGTAGATTTATACCTACAGACCTAAACAAATCAATGTTTAAGTTCATCAATAAACAAGATACTGAATCTACAATCAAACAAACTATTCTTTGGTCACTCATATAGTCTCGCTTACAAAATGACATGATTCTTTTAATGTCCTTCTCTTATGATTGGGTAGGGATCAATAGCCCTTATATTCTGGACTCAGTGTAATTATGTTCATTGAAAGGGAAGAAATTACTCTGTCTCAAAGCATGGACCTAGCTATGTCCATGCTCAAAGCCACACTATCGCATTTCATTGTGTTCAATCAAGGTCAAAGAAAACAAATGTTGGTAGAGTTTTATTAGGTTAAAAAGAGCCATCCCTCTAGTGTGTATTTGACAGGACTACTTTGTCTTTAAAAAGTAGGGGAATCTCCTAATGATATATTTAATGATTGAAATATTTGATTTTGTTCATTATTTTTTTATTATTTTCATGAAAGTGTACATGTGAAAGAAAACCACTTGGCAAAGCTGTTTTGATTGAAAAACTTGACAGCTACTTAAGAAATACAATTTTGTCAATAATGCCATAGTGCTTAATGTACCGGTAAACATTGTTGACTGACTGTAACTGAGATATCATATCCATTACTCATTGACCTACATGTCTGCACCCTTGGAACACATGTCGTGTTGTGACCTTTTTGTATTACCTAGATATTTAAAGGTAATACAAAATTTGCATTACCATTGTGAAACCTAGTGTTAGAATAAGCAACTTTGAAAAAATTAGGCTCTAAATCGCTAAGGATTTCGAGAAATTAAAACATCAGATTTATTGGTGATCCCGATAAATTTCAAATAGCGCCTACGGCCATACAATGGTAGCTGCGACCATGAAGTTTTGATATATTATTTCCAAACAGGAATAGAAAATTGGTCGATTTTAGTCAAGAAACATTGTTTTGAAGCTAAATAATATCAATCTTGAGAGGGAGCTTTACAACATAAATAAATAAATAAATAAATAATAGTGAACATTTATAATGCGCCATGTCTGTCAACCGCGACAACGAATATTGAAAGATCGCATATGCTTCCAATATGTTCATTTGAACCAAATTCACGACCCCATACCAAAACTTTCTGTTTCATTACCTTTAACTTCATTAGATAGCCAATAGTGAGTGGCTCGTAATGGTTAGGAGCCAGAGCAAATAAAACTGAGTTCCTATAGGAAATATATTTATTCCGCGTCATATCTCAGCCAATACTTAACATATTCAATTGGTTTTTGACATTTTGACATTATTTTGATGCTCTTTCGGAAAAATGAAGAAAAAATAAGGAAATTCTAAAAATAGATTTGATGACGTCACAGCTTCGGTACTCGATTACTGTTTTCACACTGGCAATATTTTGCTTAACCCCGTACTATAGGTGGGGTTAAAGGGTATCTTAGCCCCACCTATAGTCCGGGGTAAGGCTGTGCACAACAGTGTAATGAGGTACCCGAGTACACTCCCAGGCTTACAAGCGAATACTTGAATATTCGGACGCCATGTTTTTTTATAATTTTTTTGATTTTCGATTTTTTGTTTTTTGTTGAATTTAAAAAAAAAAAAAATTGATTTTTTTTTTGCGGCCGAATATTCGGGTACGACAAATCGACCCGAGTAGTTGTCAACTGTGCGGGTACTCGAGCATTCGACTACACGTCGCAGCCCTAGTCCAGGGTTAAGCTTATTCCACTTTCTTTTCACACTGGCAAAATGTTGCTTAACCCCATACTATAGGTGGGGTTAAAGGGGGGGGGGGGGGGGTTTTAGCCTCACCTATAGTCCGGGCCTCCGAGGTTAAGCTTATTCCACTTTCTTTTCACACTGGCAAAAATTTGCTTAACCCCGTACTATAGGTGGGGTAAAAGGGGGGTCTTAGCCCCACCTATAGTACGGGGTTAGCTAGCCCTGCAAAATAGCAGGGCTAACCCTGTAATTGTGGTGCTAACTCCTGCTAACTCCGCAATTGCGGTGTCAAGCAAATGAGTGAGAACAGAAACGAAAAATAGTCCGGGACTACGCAGTGGAGCGAATTAATGAATATTCACGCTATGGTTAGTACGGGGCTAAGGAATTGCAGTGAGAAAAGCCAAAAAAGTTAGTCCGGGGTTAAGTGTCAAAAGAGTATAATGACTTACCGTACTGTCAAAGTACTAAACAAGATTGACCCTTTCCATGTGACATAATCAGCATGAGATAGGGATAATGGTCTGAATTCCTATAGCGTAGGCCTTTCTTGCATTCTCCTGACTTGCAATTTGAACTAGTGCTGTAACATCACGGATATCTCCAATTCTGTTTAACCGCCAGTCAAAACCGGACGGGAAGGACTTTCATTTAACTGCGAGGTGCATTTGAAGGTGCCGATTTGTGCTTGTGAACGTGTCACAAATAATAGTAACAATGTCATTTTTAGAAGAATGTTTAAGATCATTAATGTAAATTAAAAACAGTAGAGGACCTAGGATAGAACCTTAGAGCCGTGTGTAAAAGTTGGACGAATTATTATTATAAACTAAACTATTACAAAGATTACTTTCAAACCAAGATGACAGACAAATTGGAGTGTTGTTCTAGTTTCGGAGTGGTGAGTCAACACACAGATTACTGAGCTGGGAGACATTGCCAGGCATAGTGCCAGGTGGAGGGGCATAAATCGAAATTTTAAAAAAATAAAAAAAAATAAATAAAAAAAAAATGGGAAAACGAAACCGTCCAATTGAAAACGGAATCCGCCATGGGCGGTCGGATACCGGACGGTTAAACGTTTGACTACAGCACTAATTTGAACCATTGGTTATGTTTTATCCTGTTGTCCAGACTTCAAGCTTTTAAACCCAAGCACACCGGTGACATTTTACACCTCTTCTCATAAACTTAACCCATTGATGACTAATATCATTTCCACAATAATGCATGCTATTCGAAATGGACTTGAACTTGTGAACTCAAACTAACATGGCAAATTTTATGATTTTCTCTGTGTAAGCTCAATTACTTGAGAGTTTGAGATTGATGAAATAAAATAAAATATCTACAAGAAATAGCAAAAAATAATGTTGAACGTAAACCACAATTTTGAGAATCATTCAAACAGGCTGAAAAAACACATACTCTATCAATTTAGACACATCTTCACTAAAATATTCAACTGATTTGATGGTTAAACCTGAACATTAAAGTTTTTAAACAACTTTTTATATGAAATGTCATAAACAACCTACCTGTTCTGCCATTGAATTTGGAAAAAAATGATACCTTTTTTAATATTTCGATGGTCCAGTGCCCAATCTAAACTTGAAAGAAATAATCCAATAACAGAATAAATGTTGGAAATTACAGAACTTTCCTTTTCACAGAAAGTCTTTTGTACGATAGGAACAAAGAGCCATGACAAATACTTCAATCATATGGTGGATTTCAGGAAAAAATGAAGGAGGTTTTTCACAAGAATTACTTCTTAACTATAAAAAGTCATTAAGCTATTTCTGAAGTTAATCCACAATTAAACGTAGGATTGGTGCACAAGTTTCAGGTTACTTAGCAAGACAATCAGTAATCCACCTACTCAAAGATAAACACTCGTCTGAGTAATAGTATACTCCATAATGACTAATACTTTAATGCGCTTTTTCCTGTCTGTTTGGTGACAAGTGTGTGTTTATCATGGTCGATCTTTGCCGCACATAGATGAGATAATATTGCCTGTTCAGAGCACGAAGGGAATTAACTCTGTTTAAAGTATACAAGTTAATGCCCTTTTGGCTCCAAATAGATGATATGGGATACATGAGGGAATGGTTTAAGAGAAGTATGATCTTGCATGAAAAACAATACATCGTTTCATATTCTTTATTGGTGTAAGTAAGAATGTTATTTTATCTAATGGTTTCGGAAGAGAGTGCTGGTTACATATATATGTTATGTAATTTAAGCTATCTTGTACTCTATCATTTCTATTTCTTCTGAAAACATCTTGGATCGTAAACCACGATAATCCTAAAGTCTACCCTGAAAATCTTCAGAAATAATATCAAAACAATAACCATGAATTACTCTAAATTATGTAACATTCCTTCCTAGTTAAAGAAAACAAGAGACTAGTTATGATTGTATTTGTCTCATGCACCACCTGAGGGATCTTGTTCTTCTACCAGTCGCCAAGATTTTCAGCCTGTTATGAACAAGACTCCCTCTTGGTGGTGGGATAGCAAAGCAATGCAATGCACCACCTCCCCCTAGAGCAAAATAAAATTGGAACGAAAGGTTGTTTAAATGTCAGTCGCTCTCCACTTTTTGACATTCTTGGTCTAAACCCACTCAGAACCACACTTATATCAACAGCCATAAGCAACTTGGCCATAAGGCCTTTGACAATCTGCTTGTCAGTCTCGTGATTTCTATATGTCTTTCAATTCTTCTGTGTACCACTGCCCTATTCAAGCTATAACGAACTATTCCTGAATGGATGGGATTTCATCACAAAAGGAAATGAAAGTCACTGAGCTTCCCTTACCTAAGAACAATGCTCGACTTCTTTGTCTTGAACTTCATTCTTTCCCAGTCCATCGATACTCCTCAAGCCTAGCCAAAATCTTAACCACAGCCTTTGTATTTGAACCAAGATTGGTAAGATCATCCATGAAGGCACGAATTGGTGGCAACTCCTCAGCATTGGAGAGTAACTCCAGGCCCTGCTATCTCTGCAGACCTCAATATCACATCCATGGCAAGTTCAAACAAGATAGTTGAGATGGCACAACTCATTGGGAAACCAACTTCAAGACTCTGCCTACTAGTTCTGAACTGCTGGATGGAAAACCTCATCTGAAAGTCCTGATACTACAGTGAGAGTCAAAAATATTATTTCAAAAATCATCTATGAACAGTAAATTATTATACATCCTATGAAAGAGTGTTT